ACCTCTCCAAGATGCCCTGCTGTCTTCCTTTGGAAACAGGGAGCTGGGCTCAATGGGCCCAACTTGCTCTGATCCAGCAGCTGCTACAAAAGGGTGGGGGGACGAGCCTTACCCCCCCCAAAGCATTTGGTCATCCCTCTGTGCAAAAGGGCTGCCGGACCAGGCAGGGGTTTGCTCTGATGTGAAAGGCTCCAGCGCCTGGCAGGAACCCCCCAAGTCATGTGCTTTCTGCCCCCCCCCCCCACCCGCCCCAGCAGAATAATTAGGCAGAAGTAAGGCTTCCTTCGGGCATCCCACTTTGCACTCCCAGCAGACCGAGCGCGCTCCCCGGAGCCTCGGCACCGCCGGCCGTGTCTGGGCGTGCACCTGGGCACCCCGCCTTGGCCTTCTGCAGAAGGGCCTTCGGTCCACCAGAGGGGCAGCCCGGCCCTTCGCGCTCAGACCACTTGGCTCGGCCTCGGGGCTCAGTTCCCCCGCCGGCACCCTTCTCCCCACCCGGCCCGCTCCGTCCGCCTCCGGCGAAGTGGGTGCTTTGTGGCAGGCCAGACCCCGCGCCCACCAGGGCCATTGTGTGAGCACGCCCACGACACGCCCGCCACGTCCCAAACGGACCGGCAGGGCCCTGGGAGACGGACGCCGCCCCGGCACTCCATTCAGCCAGGAGCTGGCCCTCCGCGTCCACCCCGGCTCTGCCGGCACTGCTTTGGGGTGGATGACAAGCCCGGCAGGGAGAGCCGCTGCCTTGCACCCCATAACCCTGGCTGTTGGCCAGGCTGGCCGGGGCTGATGGGAACTGCAGGCCACAGGGCGCCATGTGCCCTCTCCCAGCGCTAACCTGTACGCCCCACTGCCTCTCATGCGGCTAGAGCACCTGCCCGCCAACCACGCAGCCAGGGCTGCTGGGAGTCGATGTCCGACAGCCCCTGGGCCACCGTCAGTTCCCCCTCCCTGGCGGAAAGTCCTCTGAGGAATGGCAGTCCCCCCCCCCCCCCCCCCCCGCGAGGAAAAAAGGGAAAAGAGACACATCCTCTGGGCTGAGTCACTTCCCCCGCCCCCCCCAGGCTTTGTCTGGAGCGAGCATCCGTCCAGCCGCGCTGCCCACCGGCCCCCTTGGGCTGAAGGCGGAGGCCTCCGTGCCGCGGCTGGCCCGAGTCCGGGGCCGGGGGCTTTGTTCCCGTCTGGCCGCCCTGGTCCCGCATGAGAGGCCGCTTCCTCTCCGCCCAGCATGCGGCGTCTCCGCCGTGTTGCCGGGAAGCAGGGAAGCAAGCCCCCTGGAAGCTGCCTCTCCGCCCGCCTCCCCTGCAGTGACGCACAGAGGGGGAGTCAGGGAATCGTCCGTGCGACCCGGCGCTTGGCGCAAGCAGCACGTCCGGGGGGCTGCCCTCGGACCGGGAGTTCGGGACCCCAGGCCTGTGAGCCCGGGCCAGCCACTCTCCCCCACAGCCACCGGCTCTTTGGGGGAGCCCTGGGTGTGGGAGGGGATATTCTCCCACCCCGAATGGCTGAAAGGCCGGAGCAGCTTTAAGTGAAAAGAGGCAGTCTCGCTCTGGACCTGTGACTCCGCCCCTCTTGCCTTGGGCTCCACCCACTGCTGGGATGCAGACCCCTGAATGAGAATCCGGCCCCCGGCTGGAAGAGCGTCAATGCCCTTGATGCAACTAGGCTACACTAAGGGAACCACTGTATTTCCCACTGATCTGCAAAACACTCTTCCCCCACTTCCAAATATGGTTATAATTAGGATTTTCCAGGGAAGGGGAGAACTGGGACTGAACGCTTGTGAGAAACGGCTTGCGAACTTCATTTTGGCTCTGATCACACAGTCCTGGGCTTCACATGTGCTCAGAGGCACCCTTGTTCTGGACATCTTAACACAGCTCCAACTGAACCAACTCTTCTTTTCCCCCTATTTCAGAAAACCCTTCCCAGCTGTCTCCATGTTATAGAAATCATTTCTATGCCGGTTGCTTTCTATCTTATCTGGCTTTGAGGGCGGTGTCTATATTCATATGATTTCACTCTACAAGTAGAATACTTTCACAATTAAGCAGCAACGGCTGGGTAAAATGCTTGGGGATATGATAAAAATAAAAGTGAGACTCTCCTGGAACCACGAAAGGGAGCAACACGGAGGGCAAACAGGCGTCTTTTGGGGATGAATTCTACAACTGGAGTACCAGAGCTGGGTAAATGCCCTTCGCCTATTTTTGGAGAACCTGCTCAGATCCAAAGGACACCCAAAGGAAGGGCTCAGCAGGGCCTGTGGAGGGGATGGATCTGCCTGTGTCCATTCAGATAGACTGCTTTTGTCCAGAAGGCTTGAGGAAATTCCACCCCAGCACCTTCTGAACCATCTTGGCTTTCAAGATAACGCGTTAACTTGCACTCAGGGGCTGTGTATAGGTTGCGTGTGGGCTGCCAATGAGCAGACCTGAGCCGCTGTTGTAACATGGGTTATTCTGTTGTCTGAACGCTGCTGCGCTAAGAAACCACGGTTTGTTAGCCACGGGCAGCCCACAGTTCAGAGCCTAACCACCAAGCACGCTTCTCTTCCTGCCAGGCTGGCAAAGGAATCCTTGGGGTCTTCCAGAAAGGGTTAGACGGGGAGCGTCTGGGGCCGAAGTCAGCTCAGTGAAAGGAGAAGAAAGGCAGGGGCTGTGCTGTGCCTCTTTCGAGTAGCTCAGGAGGAGGCCCGGCCTGACGGCGTGTCTTTGTGCCCATGGCGAATCTGTTCAGCTCTGTCTTCACCCTTCCTGCCTTTGTCTGAGCGCCTCTCCCTCTTGCTCCCATTGGCCGGAGGAGCTGGCAGGAATTTGGGAGAGCTTGCTATGCACAGGACTCCATGTGACAGCCAAGCTGATTCCCTCTGCACGTGCGTGGAAGTGACGGGGCTTTGCTTTTCCCACTCAGTCCCAGCAGCAATCTCGCGCTTTTGCGCTTTTGCGCTTGCGGGAGAAGCGTGCGCTCTTCTTGTGGCTTTATGCGGAGAGGAAAGCAAGCCCTGTTGAACTGGAGTGGATTCCAAGTAAACAGGCGGGCAGCCAGTCGCGCTGCGCATGTGCCCGACTTCCCGGCGCGGCCCGTGACGCAAGCTGTCACAAAGCTTGAGAAATCTGAGCTGAAGAGCCAGTGACCCCCACTGCCTTTATGTCGAGGCTTGTTCAGAAAGGGGAAATTGAGTGCGTGTGTTTGAGAGGCCTCCAGTCTGGTTCTATGGAAACACCATTTCCTGTTATCTGAAATTGTTTTTCACAACTGCCTCCCCCGGCTAAATTCTCTATCTGCTCGGTCCGATCATTCAGAGGGGGAACCGTAGCTCCTTATGACATCCGTGAGTCAGCATGGGAGGCAGTCTTTTGCAAGAAAGTTGGCAGAAAGCTGGCTTTTTAAACCTGTGCAAAAGAACTTGCAAAACCGGAGGAGGTGAAACAAGCCGCTCACATTTCCATTTGCTTGGAAACGTTGCGTATAAATCATCGTCGTGACAGACGGTTGGAAGTAGTGAGCGCTCCTTCCAAGAGCAAACCTGGGTGCAGATGACAGCAGATGCAGGTTAGGCCCCGTGGTTAAGAGCACAGGTCTGGGGCGCAGGCAGTCTGGGTCCTGATCCCCACCCAGCCATGGAGCCTGGCAGCCCAGCCTACCTCACAAGGTTGTTGTTCTGGGGATAAGATTGCAGACTGATGTAAGCCTCTATGAGTTCTTTAAAAAAGAAAAAAGTGGGAGATACATCTAATGAATGAATGAAATAAACAGATACGTAACCCAAACAAAATTCTGTTTCGTGGCCTGGACCAGAAAAGCCAAGGTTAAATGCATATTCTCTTTCTCTCCCTTCCCTCCCCCCCCCACCCCGCAACTCAAACACACTACTGTGATCTTCCAAAAAGGTTCACGGGGTGATATTTTCATTTGCGCTTCACATCTGTGTCACAATAAGCACATCAGTGTAATTATTTTTGGGAATTTCGTGCTCGTTTTGAAAACATGCCCCAAGAAAAACAATTCTTGTATTTTTTTGCGATTTCCAGAGCTTGGCATTCTTTTCAGACTGCGTGCCCTTTGCGGCAGGGAACTTCTGTGGGGTAGTGCAAAAAAAGAAAAGGGCAAGCAGGAAGATTAGGTAATGTGAATGGGGCTGCCCAAAGCACCTTCCCTTGGGAGAAAAATTGGCGCATCCGGGTGGGATTTGCAGGGAAAGGTGTTGGAAAGGAACACGGTGGAAGTTTCCGTGGGGAAAACCTGTTAGCATCCAAGATCGGTAAAGCTTATCAAGAAAACCGCTCCCGGCTAGATGAGGGAAGACGAAGGTGCTTTCCAGCCGTGCCCAAAACGATGCTGTGTCAGTGCCTGGCTGCCCTCCAGAGGCAGGCTGTTCCACGGGAATGGGGCCACCCCCGTGAAGGCTCTGCTCCAGGTGCTCTCCAGTCAGGCCCCGGGTCCGGGTGGATCCACCAGGGACATGCCAGCCACTGACCTCAGGGACCAGGCAGGCTGGGAAGGGAGATGGCACGCTCGCAAATATTCAAAGTCTCCAATGAGACTTCCTGTTCATAATCGCCACTCTGAGAACAGAATGCCGGACTTGGCCGTTTGGTTTGATCCAGCAAAGCTTGGCAGTTTGGAGAGCCAGCGTGGCGTCGTGGTGAAGAGCCTGGGACTGGGACTCAGACGATCTGGGTTCGAGTCCCCGCTCAGCCATGGAGCCAACTGGGTGACTTTGGGCCAGTCACAGACTCTCAGCCCAACCTACCTCACAGGGTTGTTGTTGTGAGGATAAGATGGAGGAGCAGAATGATGTAAGTTGCCTTGAGCCCTTTGTAGGGAAAAGGCAGGATATACATTGAAAAATAAAATAAATAAACTTCAGAGCAAAGCAGAGGGGCAGAACGGCGCTGCCCCAGAATCGCGCTCACCTGCGTTCATGTTGACTGGCCGCTGTTTCTCCTTGGGGCGACAGTCAATCTAACCTGCGGTGTCCTTCTTCTTCATTTTGAAAGGTGTCGTTCAACTGGTACCCAAGGAGGGCTGTTTTCGTTCCCCAGAGAAGCTCTGGACTCTGCATAAGGCCTTTTCTCCACCCCGTCGGACCCGCAGACGGCAGAACGATGCTGGAGAGCCTGGCTGCCTGCTGAGTGTTCAGGCTCGCAGGGGACCCGGCTTGGGAGGGGGCCCCCTCTGCTGCGGAGGAAGAGGAGACGGCTGCCAGCATCGGAGACGAGGTCTACCCGCCCGGCAGAAAGCTGGAAGCCGCTGGGAACATGAGCGATTTCTGGCACAAGCTGGGTTGCTGCGTGGTAGAGAAGCCGCAGCCGGTGAGTGGCCTTGCGTGATTCTGAGTGAGCGGCACTTTTACATGGCCGCTCGGGCGATGCTGCTCCGATTGGGGCCCACGGTCTGTGCCCCCTTGTGCTGAAGGGTCTGCAGCCATCCTCCAGGGAAGGAGGATGTCTCCTCGCTGATCCCCAGTGCGGAGGCAGTGCTAGGAAAATGCAAAGACTGATTCTTGGAGGGACACCCCCCACCCCCGTCCTGCCTTGCCTGGCCTTGCCTGCCTGCTTTCTGCCCAGCGCTGCTGGTTCCGTTGCCGCACCAGCTCTCTGGCCTCCACGGACCTCTACAAGGCAAAGACTTAGTCCGAGCTCAGGTGAAAACCGTGTCAGTTCCCCCAGAGTTGGAGAATCCTGTCAGCCAGGAGAAAGCTTCTCCGTGCCGTTACAGTGCAGGTGTATCCCACGCTGGGAGCTCAGACAGTCCTCCTCCCGTCCGTTTTATCTTCACGGTAGCAATCCTGTGGGCCAGGAGTGAGTGCCTGGCCCAAAGTCGCCCAGGAGGCTCCAGGGCTGGAGGGAGCGCAGCCCCAGTTCTCCCTGCGCCGTGCCGGCTCTGCTTCGCCCTCCTTTGTTGAAGCTGATGTGGCTGGAAAGGCTGCAGCAGCTGCATCCGTCTCCTCCGCCAGGGAAAGTGGGAGACAGCCTTCCCAGTTGTATTTATTTATTAAATTTATAGGCTCTGTTAGGGCTCTCTGGGCGGGGTGCATTTCCATTTTCTGGCCTCTGGGGAAACTGACACGGCCAGGAGAAAACCGATTCAGGCTGGAGGGACGTTCTTGGGGCTTGTCCGGTGCACCATGCACTGGATTTCTTCCATTCTCTACGAAAGAGGGTGCGACATGCAAGAAGCCCTCCTGAACGAGGGGCGGATGGGTATCCTTGGTGATATGATGGGGTTTAAAAAAGGAAGCCCCACCGCACTTGTTTGGTGGTGGGGTAGAGATTCACATGAGGGTCTCTCTCGCTGGTCTCAGTCCAAAATTCTCAGCCCCACAACATATGCCTTTGGGAAGGGTTGCTTGTTTGGGGGTCCTTTGGCCCGTACCTCCAAGCCTGGGTCCTTCCCTGAAGACATCCCTCATTTTAGCATCATTTAAGGGTTACAGTGGCTGGGGAATGCCAGGATGCAAACACACAGACACGCGTGCCAGGCCGTTCCTTTCCCCTCTTCCTCCTCCTCCTCCCCAAGCATTGTGGGACGGGGATTTGGGAGCCGGAGCTGCCAGCCCTCCACCCCTCCGACGCACAGAGCCCGCCTGGGCAGTAACAAAAGGGATGCGTGGGGCTCCTTGGTGGGCCCAGCGCTCTTCCCGCTGGGCGCCCCTTGCCCGTGTTGTCCACCGCAGCAGGCGAGGGGCAGACCGAGCTGGCTCACCTGCCAGCAACTCACTTGCAGCTCACCTGCTGATGGACAGACCCCCTGGGCCCACAATCCGTGGGTCCCACCCAGCACAGAAGCACATGCCGCCAAAGCAACCCACTCTGCAAATCATGCCCCCGTTTTCTCGGAAAATCCCCCTTCTGTGCCCCCTTTTTCGGTAAAGATTTTACTTCAGCCTGATAGGAATCCTAGTTTCTCTGCTGTCTCTCTGCAGCTCCAGATCGGTTTCTGGAGATCCCAAAACTATTCCATGGACCGGTTCCCACTGAGCGTTTGTCCTGCAAACGGCAGTTTTCAAAGGGGGAGCAGCAGGGACGGGAAGGCATGCAGCCCTCCCCCCTCCCCTAGAAAAGAAATTTTCTCCTGCAAGGCAATAGTGGTGGGCATGTCCTGAGCGGAGCTGGCTGGATCCAGGGTCAGACTAGATGGCCCTGGAGACCCCCTTCTGACTTACTCAGTTTCTATGTTTCTAATTAAGCTTAGAAATCAAAACTCCTTTTCCCCAGTCGTTTGGCACGGTGCAAATGAACCAAAGAGTTAACTGAGTCTGCTGGTTCAGATGAGGAATGAATGACCCCCTAAGGACACGAACTGTTTGGGGGCTGAGCGGGCTTTTTTGGAAAGGGGTGGTGGGCTCTCCCTTGCCAGAGAAGCAGAGACTGGATGGCCATGGCCCACAGGTCAAGCCTGAGCCCCCATTTCTCCCCCTTCTCCCCCTTCTCCCATTCACTAACCCCTCTGTTCTGTTTTGTTCCCGCTGCAGAAGAGGAAGAGGCGGCGAATCGATCGCAGCATGATCGGTGAGCCGATGAATTTCGTCCACCTGACGCACATTGGCTCTGGAGACATGGCGGGCGAAGGCCTCCCCATGGTACGGGCTCGCTCCCCCCTCTGGGGTACACACACGGCAGGCAGGGAAGAGTCAGAGTTTGGATCTGCGACGGCCCGAAGAGGATGCCCCGTAACCTAGCATGCTTTGGCAGATTCCAAACCGTCAAAAGGCTAAAACGCCAGCAAGATGAATAATATGAAATGCAAGGCATGCCTTGTAGGAGAATTGCAGACAATCTGGAACAAGCAACAGCACAGGAATGGGTGAAATTTTAGGGCCAGGGCTTATTTCATGTGGGAGAAAAGGCATGTCGTTGCTGGTGCCCAAAGATAGCCATGCAATCTCTTGGCAAACCTCTTTGGGGTGGGCATTTCCTATGTGGGGTGCCAAAACAGAGAAGGCCCTGTGGTAGCAGCCATTAAGTGAACTCCCCTTTAGGGCTCCCAGAGATGAGCTAAAAGTCTTATACAAGTAATACAGAAGGAGACATTCCGTTAGGTACTCTGGTCTCAAACCCTTTAGAGCCCGACGAAGAGGCATGGGGGTTAGGGTTAGGGTTTAATTTATTAAACTTTAATTTATTAAAAGTTTTTATATGCTGTCCAATACCAGAGTCCTTGGATGGCTTACAAAAAAACCCAAAAAAACATACCAACAAACAACACTGCATCCGACCATTCATGATAAAAACAAAGATAAAACCAATTAAATGTTAAAATGTTGGGGAAATAAAAAGGTTTTCGCCAGATGCCGCAAAGAATAAAGTGCGGCCTGGGGAGCGTGTTCCAAAGTCGGGGTGCCACCCCCGAAAAGGCCCTTCATCCTGGCACCGAACCTGCAGATGCACCAGGGTTGTTTTAAAGATCATTACTGGGGTCTGAACATTACGGGGTTGCGCCCAGTCCCCGCCTGGGGATGGGTGCGCCCCGAAACACAAGCAGGCAACACCGGAAGGCGAGGTGCGCACCGCAGGACGATGGATCGCCCCCTTTTCCCCGTGGCTGCCGCTGTCCTGCCGTGGCAAATGCTCCTTAAAAGAACAAGAGCCCGCCAGGGAAACGAACGCAGCGGTGCACCGAACATCAAGCCCTCGCCGGCTGCACTGCCAGGCCGAGTGGGGGCAGCAACGCCAGCTATATTTAGATTCCTCCAGGAAGGACAGATCTGCTCACGTCCCCCCTCTCGTGGCCTGATCCAGCCACGCTGCTTCTGGGGCTGTTTCACTCCAGGAAGTCGGCCTTCACCTTAAGCAAATGAGTAGCAGGGGATTTAGGTTCATCTTTTCACTGTGGCTGCTATTCCGCCCTTTTCCCTGCAAGGAACCCAGGGCAGCTTTTGCCCGCACACCCCCTTCAGTGCATCCTCACAACAACCCTGTGAGGCAGGTCGGGCTGAGAGGCCGTGGCTGGCCCAGTCTCACACGGGGCTCCACGGCTTTGTGGGGACTCAAACCCGGGTCTCCTGGGTCCCAGGCCAATGCTGCGCCACCCGGGTCTCCCGATGGCAGCTTCCTCCAAGCCGATTTAATTGTGGGCACACAGAAGCCTCCAAAGCCGGTTGCTTGTCTAAGTGAACGCACCTCATTTCAAGCAAAGATTTGTCTCTCCCTCTGTTAATTCCCCACTTCCTATTTCCCTTTCCTTCGCATACACAAACACTTCCCTCTTCCAAGACTTGGAGAAAGGACGACTGAGGATGTTCTCAAGGGGGGGCATTCCACCTTTTGGGGAGCCACCACAAAGGACGCCTGCCCAGAAGCAGGACGTCTACCAGATCCCCACATGCGGAGGTCTTTGGGTCAGGAAATCGGCTTTGCTGGCGGGGGCCTTCGGGCACGTGGGGCACCCTATTCCCAGCGAGAGCTCTCTGCTGTCTGGCTGGCACAAGGAACTACAGGTAACATGGAGAAAAACACTTACACCTTCTCTCTCTCCCCCCCCGCCAGACAGGAGCAGTCCAGGAAATGAGATCCAAAGGCAGCCGAGAGCGACAGTGGAGCAATTCCCGGGTTTTGTAGCTCGACGGGGCATAGCCCTCGACTCGCCCCTCCTTTTCTTCAGTGTGAGTGTCTGCTTAGGATTGCAAATTCCCCCAAAGAGCATTTCCTTTCCCAGCTGTGCCAGATTGCTGAGGACTAGCCACTTGAGAGCACCAGTGGAGCTGGGAAACCTGCCTTCTCTCACGGCTTCAGCCCCACTTTCAGATCAAGAGCCAGAACAGGACTGCCATCAGTTAAAGAGGGTGCAGATCTGGCAGACCTGATATAATGTCTTACAACTGAGAGTTTTCTGGGGGGCTGGGGGGCATTCTTAGCAACCTCCTACCACCCACTCCCTGCTTTTTCCGCCCTTCCAGGTCACTGGGTTCACATGCATGCAATGGCATTAAGGTTTGCTCTGACCTGTTTTGCAGGCGCCGGGAATCTCACAGGTTCCAGGCCGGGCAAGACGCACCGCCGAAAGGAAGCGAGGGAGAGCGCGAGGGGGACCTCCCCCCATGGCAGCCGCCCCTGGAATTGCACCCTTTCATCTCAGCAGAACAAGCCGGCAGTGCATTCATCACTCAGTGACTTGCAAACTGGTTCCGAATGCTCCGATTTTTACTTCTTAGGATTTGTTTTAATTTGTGTTTTTGTGAAGAGCAGCGACCCCGCAAAAAGCACTTTGCTTTCAGCATCTATCGACCCTCTGCAGGGAACAGGCAGACGGGATCTGGAGCTGGCTGACTGGAGTTTTTCTCTCGACCCATCTCTGCAGCTGGCCTTTGACGGTCTCTTTTTCACCCCTCCTTTTAAATGTGTGACTTGGCAAAGAATGAGATTGTAGATTCTAGGGAGACGTTTGCCCCGTGCTTCAGCAACTAACAGATGATCTTCTGGCCATGAGTTTTGTTTCCATTTTCCATCGCATTATATTTTTTTCCACATCTGGAGGAACCATTCGAAAGATCAGGTCGTTGGGTGTCCCCCTCCCCCCGCCGCACACACACACACACACTATGGAAGCGTATCCACTGGATTAAAAAAAAAAATCTGCAGAGTGTATCCAAGGTTCAGGATGCACTTCCATCAGGAAGCAAAATTGCAGGATGCCTTTAGGAATGTGAGAGCAGAAGCTGGAAAGATCTGCTACCCCTTGAGCCACGATCCTCTGCAAACCGGCTGGGGGCAGGAGGTGGATAAGTCCATGGCTGGCCATGTCACTGAGGTGGTCAACTGCCACCATGAATGTTTTGGTCAGACTTGTGCAGAAAAACACCCATGCAGATTATTCCCTGAGCTAAACTAAGAAGGAGAGCAATGTCCTTTTGGATTTTTAGCCCCAAATACCGTGGGCTGGGTTTTGCCCACTCTTCCTTCCAGAAACTGCAGCTTCTAAGCTCTTGGTGCAAGGCTGACAAGACAGAACTGCAGCACCTTGGGCTTGGGAGTCCCTGCACATGGGTCTGTGAACATCGCAGGGGTCCAGCTGCCAGAGGCATCCTGGGCTTGGTCCCTTTGGCAGGGACAGCCAAGAGCAAAACGTGACATCAACTTTTAGTGTGTAGACTTTAACTTGCGGGGAGCTGCAGTGGGTCAAATCGAGGGACTGAGCACTGGCTTGCTTATTTGGGGAAAGAAATCATTGGAAATTGCTCTCGTCTTCTGCAGGCCTTTTGTTCCCTGGCTCCAGGTAACAGGTGAAATACATTCAAAGGTATTTGATCTGTGGATATATCGATTTCTTTCTTCTTCTCTGGTCAAGTAAGGGTCTTGCGTGGGTGCTTTAATGAGGCTGGGCGATGCCCACAGCTGTCTCCCAGAAATACAATGCCCAATAGCTTCCGTAGGTTCTTTGGTGCTGTTAAACGGAAGCAGCAGCTCCGATCTTTCTTTGTGGCTTCTTCTCCGTTCTGGATCATTGCTTTTATGTACATGTACTTTCCAAAGTGGAGAAACCTTTAAGGTTAAGCATGAATGTTACATTCGTCTGGGCCTGGGAGTTCAATTCCCACCGTCAGTTTTTTCTGCATCACAGCTTCCAGATAGCTAGATGGATTTTCAGCTCTGGCAGTGGGTGCGAGAGTTTCTCTTTCTCTCGTTTGGTCACTGGGGCATAATTTGCAGGGAACATGATGCCTACAAGGCTGAGCCCTGGAATCGATTAGGTTTCCACTGCAAAAAAGGCCTGCTTTTCTACTAGCTTTGCTGTTTTATAGAGATATTGAGGAGCACCTTGAATGTTCGGCTTTTGCGGGAAGCAGCAGATTTGTGTGTGTGGATTTTGGAGGGGCGAGCAAAGCAACCCGAACCGGAGCCAAAGTGAGCTCTCCCAGGTAGAACTGAGGGGCGGGCGGGGGGGGGGCATAGCTTAGACACAGGGCAGCTTTGCACTAGGCTTGGAGGAGGGCATGGAAAAATTAGCATTGATCCTGCGGGCTTTGGGGGGCGGGCTGCCCTTGAAAAATTGCATTTGTGCTTAGAGTCTTCCTTGGACGCAACGGACAGCACCCTGGAAGCAAGAAATGCACACGGAAGGATTCTGTCCCCAGCCAGGCCATCGAGGAGCGAAGGAGAGGTTCTCCAGTAGCTTCTTTCATGCCCTAGTTTCTAATTTTATCGTACCCTTTTATCGTACCCTTTATCCTTTGTACCTCCAACTGCCAGTTGATATGCCCTTGGAAGCTTTCTTTCCTGGCATTTACAAACTTTAAGCTAAACCACAGACTGTTTTTTTGGATTCTGCCCCCAGCCTCTTTGCCTGCACCCCACCCACCCCTGGAGTGCAAAACCCATTTCTCCAAAACGGGTGCCAACACTCCTTATGCCCATTTCAAGGAAAAGCCCCACCCCAGGTGAGGCTGGTCTCTCAAACCAGTGAGCCAAGCTGTATTTTAGGAGGAGGAAAGGCTTAGCTTCTCCATGTGTCCCTGGGGAAAACTCATTTTAACCCCTCGGATTTGTCCTTATCCTTGTAGTTGGTTTTCCTTAAAATGGCCAAAACTGGCTTGGAACAGCAAGAATTCCTATTCATACTCTGTCAGCTCCCTCGAGCCTCCGCCATTGCCCTCCCCCGGCCCGCGTTGGTGTCCTGCCTCAGATATTTCCAAATCATACAATTCCTCACCAGAAAACTGCTGCCTGGGACTTGTCTTCCTGTTCCCCACATTCGTCTCACAGTTTTAATTTGTAGCTTGATGTAAAATGTTCACTGTGCCACGTTCCTTTCCCCAGCTGGTCTGGTGTTAAAATGAAATGAAGGGATAGCTGAGCTATTCTAAATGTTTATTAGCAAAAAAAAAAAAAATCTCTCTCTCTTTTCTTCACTTTTCTGTTTCGTAAAAAAGGAAATTGTGTGTAGGACAGAAAGATGCCTGAATTTAACAGGGAGGCTGTTGAAAAGGGATTTATCAGCAATCCACCCACAGAAGTGCCTTCGGAGTCCTAGCCTAGCGAGAAGGTTCTATGGATGTGGCAGCCGGCAGAAAAAATTGTGCAGCACCTGCTGCCTTTTCCACCTCTGTTTTAATGGTTCTGAGACCTCCACAACCTCACTGCGTCCTCTCAAAACAATGTAATGTATGCTTGAAAAATTAAATGGCAAAAAGCAAACGGAAGTCATGCTTGTGTACAAAAACTAAGACCCCGGGAGTTTTTCTTCTCAAAAGCCTCTCGTTACATTTCTTTTGCTGGAACGGCCACCATGAAATAAGTGTTGTACTAAGGGAACATTCCAGCCACGCACAAGTGGGAAAGAAATGCCCGTTGACTTCTTCATGGGTGCAGGATGCAGCCAACGGGGAGCATCCGGAGAAATAGGGCTCTTACATCCAGGTCGTGAAATGACCGCACTACAGAACTGACCTGAGCAGGGCGCCCACGTTTCCTGGGTGGGATGGAACCCACGGCCTGGATTGGTAGGAACCAGCTGCCTGGAGGGGTGGGGGGCTCTCCTACACTATTATTTATTTATTTATTTATTTAAAACATTTCTATGCCACCCCATTCGCAAAGAGCCTCGGGGCAGCTTACAAAACAACTATACTCACAATTAACCTTAAAAACCCGGAGACATCTCGGCACAATATAAAACCCCATAAATAAATAACCAACAGTTAACAATTAAAATGACTTAAATAAAAAGGCCTTGGCCTGGCGCCGAAAAACAAATAATGATGGTGCCAGGCGGACCTCTCTGGGGAGCGCATTCCATAGGTGGGGCGCCACCGCAGAGAAGGCCCTCCTCTGGGTACTCACCCTCCTAATATCTTTCATGGAGGGTTCCTGGAGAAGGGCCTCTGCCGCCGATCTCGGGGTGGGAGGGCATATATGGACGCAGGGGCTGCTTTAGGTAACCAGGTCCCAAGCCATTAAGGGCTTTGTAGGTGATAACCAGCACCTTGAATTGGGCCCGGACTTCGATGGGGAGCCAGTGAAGCTGACGGAGGACTGGGGTTCCATGAGAACAACGCCCAGTCCCCGTCAGCAGCCTGGCAGCTCTGTTTTGAAGTATCCACTATTCAGAAAGAAACTGGGCAGCCTTCTGAGTGGGATGGTGCAATGTGGTGTCCTGCAACAGCAGGGGGTTGGACTGGAAGGCAGGACGCACTCCAGCGGAGCCAAGCTCAGGGAACCCAGGTTCCATTTAGATGCCAAGAAGCACTTCCTGAAAGTTAGGACCCCACGGGTAAGGAATGGGCTTCCACAGGAGGTGGTTGAGGCCCCACCGGGAAGGCTGGAGGTGCACATGGTGGGCATGTTGTGAGTGCAGCCGGCTGGAGCCGGGGTCAGACTAGATGGCCCAGGAGACCCCTTCTGACTCGCTCTGTTTCTATGTTTCTATGGCCTTCATGGCCCCTTCCAACTCTGCTATTCTATGATTCTGTGAGTCTATAACACAGTTTCCAGCATTCCTGTTTAAATCAGACCTTTAAATCAAAACCATGAGGACTAGAATCTTTATATTAGAGAAAGGGCTTTAATTCAGTGGTATAGCAGTTGCTTTACATGGAGAAGGTCCTGGCAGCATCTTCAAGGGGGGCTGAAAAGAACTGGAGGAACAATCCCAAGGACTGCTTCCAGTGGCCCCCTGCTGGGCTGGGGGACCCAGGCAAGTGCCTGACCAGGCTGACTCTTAACCCCCGCACTGCCATTCCTACCTATTTAGGTGACTGCGTCTATTGCCAATAGTCTCTTCAATGGATGAGAAGAAATCTCAAACACATACAGGAATCTGTTGTTTTTACTGGGCTTTTTGCAACATGATAAAGGAACTCTGTGGGCAGGTGCTGGAAAAGTCCCCCTTTCCCAGTAAGGAAACTCTGGTCCACTGGTACAGCACACACGGCCAAACCTGCCCAGCCTAACCAACCATCAGCTTCCTCACTCAGCAGACTGTCCAGTTTCTCACAAAGAAGGCCACTAGCTCTTACTCAGAGTCCGTGTTTTTTTCCAGACGTGGGGAAGGAGAAATTCTTCAGAGCAATATTTCTAGGAAACATCCACCATGGAGCTGGTCCTGGTGAGACACTGAGGGTTTGCTGGGCCTTCTTTCAACATCAGACACTCACTGCTTGCTTTTTGCTTGGGTTGACTAAGGTTAGGAGCAGAAATGAGAAGGGAAAACATGAGAGGACGGTAGCTTGCAGAGAACAAAGAAATCTAGAACTTTCCCAAGACAGCACCAACATTTCCTGATTGTTTTGGAGTGGAATATGGTTTGGGAGAGAAATACTGCTTCCTGTTAAATGTCTGCCACATTCAGGCCTTTGGTCAAACAGGTGTGGCAGGTTTTGGCCACAACACCCTGTTTGACCAGCATGAGAAGCAGAATAAACACAGGGACCCTGAGGAGCAATGACCTCTCCAAACAGCCTCCCACTGTCCGGTTCATTTTTTCCCCAGATTCAGAAGCAACCTCTCCTGTCCCAAAGACCAACCTGACAAGTTAAGTTGGCTTTCCGCTGTTTGTGTATTTGCGAAATGTGTGGGCCACTTATGGGCAAACACGAGTAGTAATAAAAGGGCACAAAATCATTCAAAATTCCCAACACGAGCAACTGGGACATATGCGAGGGGACTAAATGATTGCAATGCGGGGTGGGGGGGGGAGACAGTTAATTAAATAGATAAAATGACGGTGGGGGCTCAACACTAAAAGGACCGGGTCGATTCCCCCCGACTCCCGGCCTGCAAACTGGGGGGCCTCCAGCAGCACCCCCAAAAGCGCGCCCTGGAGGCTGAAGGCGAGGCCCGGGGAGGGGAAGGCGCACGTCCAGGGGGGGCCGCGGGCGGACCCACCTTCTGCGGGGCCCGGAAGGTCTCCCGGACGGCGCCCCAGAGCCGCTCGAGGCCGTCGTGCACGCGCGCCCAGAAGCGCCGGCGCTGCGCCTCCTGGTCCCGCTGGATGTCCCCGAGGGCGCACAGGTGCGCGGGCCCCTTGTCGCACGCCGCCTCCAGCCGGTCGCACTGGCGCTGCGCGCGGCTGCAGCCGCAGGCCGCGTAGCTGCACACCTGGCGCTGGAAGCGCAGCACGTCGTACTGCGCGGGATCCAGGCGCACGCCCGGCACGGCGTAGCTGATGTCGCGCACGCGGGACATGCTGCCGGCCGCGCAGTTGCAGTGCCACGCGCTCCACTCGCGCCACGCGTAGCGCGTGTCGCCCACGATCAGCACCGCGTCGGCCGGGGCCGGGGCCCGGGCCGGGGCCGAGACGGAGACGGAGACCGAGACCGAGACCGGGGCCGGGCCCGTGGCTGACGCCGGGGCCGGGGCCGAGGCCAGGGTCGGGGTCGGGCCTGGGGCGAGCGGCTCGGCGGAGGTGCGGTTGACGCGGCCCGCGGCCACCGTGGCCTCCGCGGCCGCCGGCACCATCGCCACCAGGTGCGGCGGGGCCGAGATGCGCACGTCGTCGGGCAGGCCGGGCGCCAGGCGCGCGCAGCCGCACAGCCACAGCCACGGCCAGAGCCAGCGGCCCGGCGCCGGGGAGGCCATGGCGCGCGAGCGGAGCCGCCAGCGCAGGCCACGCGGCTCGGGATCGGGCGCGGGCGCGGGCGCGACGGCGCCGCGCTAGGCAACGCGGCGAGAACAAAGGCGCCTGGAACGCGGCGCCCGCGCCCCCGAGCAGCCTGCGCGCCCCGCCTGCGCCCGCGCCCCGCCCGCCTGGGCGCGCTGGGACGCGCGCGGGGGACAGGGACGGGCTCGCGTGTGCACGCAGGCGTGGGGGCCGCGAAGGCCGTTGAATCCACCCGGGGCTGGTGCCCTAGTCTAGGATCCCAGGGCCCCCGCCTCCCTCGGGCTTTCCGGGCCCGCCTGTTGCGCCTTGCTGCTCATCCACGGCTCAGAACGGGCACCAGGCGGGAGAGGAGGGAAGCTGAGACGTGGAGACAGCGCAGGCAGCACGAGAAGCGCTGGGATCCCCTGGCTGGGGATTGGGCTCGCACGCTGAGCGTGCTTCCTCGGGAGGAAACCGCGCTGCATGCCAAGGACAGCACCCGGAGCTGCTGGACTGTTTTCCAGAAACAAGCCTGGGCTTCCACCCTGAAGTCCCACTCCTTGCAAAACATGCACAAAGCGCCTTTCTCCAAAGACGCCGATTGGCTGCTCTTCGGATGGAATTCGTTCCGTTGCACTTTTGAATGCCGAGTAAGACACCTGGAGCACCATCGGTTAAACACCTTTAATGAATATGTACACAAAAAGAATCCAACTTCATTTTGTTGGCTTGCTTCCATTGCCTGTGAGAAGCAGAGTGTTTTGTAACATCATCATTGCTTCACTTATGTAACACCTACAAAACTCCCTTCCTGCAAAGATTTTGCTTCTTGCCCCACTGTTACCACTGAGCCACTAGTTAAAGGCGTTATGCGTTCCACCCACACCCCATCTGTTTTCCTGCAGGGAGCCCCAAACAGCCTCCTCCCCTCCACTTCAGCCTCACAACACCCCTGTGGGGCTGCGCGGCAGCGACTGTCTCAAAGTCACGCAGGGAACGCTGTGGCCGAGTGGAGACGCCAGCGGGGGTCCCCGAGTCGCAGCCCGGCCCCGACTCGGCCAGCTCGTAGGCGAGTGGCGGGATGCTGCTGCTTTTCACTGATTGCAAAGTTAAGCGTGAAGATTCCCGCGGTTTTCACGTGGCGTGCTTGTTTTATACAGGTTCCCAGCTGTCCTGGGCTCCTTGGAAGGCTGTGGCAGGATAAACAGAAGTAAGGCAATGCAAACAAAGGCTGCATTTCATCTCGTCGTTGCGTGCCTGCTGTAAAACGACCAGCCTGCGTGAACTTTCGCGCTGCCTCTTGCCCTCGCCAGTGGAAAGGTTCCGGGGGTCCCTTTTTTTTGAAGGCTGTTGCAGAGCAGAGAACGAGCACTGGAGATGTACAGCGAAATAATTTGGAGCAAAATATCTGTTTGCAAATAAACATTTGCGAAGTTTGTTTGTTTGTTTATGTTCGTTTAAAACATTTTTATGCCGCCCCCATCGCAACAAAGCCTCCGGGTGGCTCACATCAAGAGTCGCAACAAAAGTTGAGCCCAAGGGAGCTGGCAGGGTGTTTCTTTTGCCTCCTTGTGGAATCTCATCTTTAAGACATGGGAACCATGTCTTGTGGCCGCATTTTGTGGCCGCAAACTCATGGATGAATGGAAGGCAGGAATTCCCAGCTGGGTGTCTGCTGAGACACGGAGAAGGCCCTAAGCCTCCTCACCAGTCCCTTAATACCAGCAGTGACTGAGCCTGGAGCAGGGAGATTACAACCCCACTGAGAAAATGTCTCTGAGCATGGGCAGAGTGCTTTCCTCAATCGCTGAGCTACCATCCCCCAGAAAGTCTCTTTGATGCATTCAGGCACTGAATAAAACTCTCTCTGTTTGAGCCTGAGGTTTCTTTTTCATTTCTTTTTCAACTTCCATTAAAAAACACAAATTGTGCATGATTAGGGCATTGGTAAAACAGGATCCACTTATCTGGTCACTCTCTCCCCAAAAAGATGGGGTGGCAAGTACAGGGCTGGTGAAACCGTTAAAAAGCTCAGTGACAAATCCAAGGGACCATCCAACCAGCTTGGCTTCTCGCTAGCTCCGGGAGGCTGTTCTGGACTGGTCAAATCTGTCAAAAGAGGGAAGAGGAAACAGCTAGAAACTGTGGCTGTTCCGTGCAGCAAAAGCCGCACCTTCGGTGGTGCAGCCGCCGTTGGTGCCGTTTGCTTAGCCAGGACTCTGCGGTCTTCTGGAACCTTCCCTATTTTCTCCGAGATTAGCTACAGCCTTCCCTGTAATGGGGGGAAAGGATGCGTCAAGCCACGATATCTTGCTCTGCCAAGTATGTAGGGTGGCTTGGCCTGGCCTGGGCGATGGAGACCCCTCGGCTTCACAAGGACCTGCAACGCCCCGGGTGCGTATCAGCTGGCCTGTCCCACGTAACCACGAAATTTCTCGGCGTTCGTGCGACCCGTCTTTGCAAGCCACAAGCCTCGGGGCCTTCAAAAGGTCCTTCGGTGTTCGGCCAGGCCTGCTTGCCCCATTCCAGACCGGGACAAATAAGCCCCCATTTGGGCTGGATGCCTGCCTGGTGCGACCCTTCCTCCCATAAGTGCCCCTAAGCTGTGATTCAAATCCCACGCCGGTTCGACGATGTGGCTCAACGCAGGTCCCGTACTTCTGCACCCTGCTTGGGAGGGCACGCTTGGGACCTCTGCACGCTGCCCCGTCGTTCCCGGTCCCCCCTCAAGTCCCCCCTCAGCCCTAAGTCCACAGCATGGGAGATCCAGTGGCCGGATGAGGCTGCCGTTTGCTTTGGAGGAACAAGCAAACCTCCTTCCTCCAGATTATTCCCTTCCGTGTCTCTTCCAGGCTCCCCTGCTCGGTTCTCTTTTAATACAGCCTGTCATTTGGGACGGGGTACTCAAATAACACTCCTGCCAACTGTGCAGTGCGAAAGCGTGCAGATGCAGGAAGATAAAAAGGGGCAGGTAACAGTGTTCCGTGCACCTCGGTGTTTAGTCATGCGGCCACACGACCACGGAGACTGTCTGCGGACGAACGCTGGCTCCCTCGGCCAGGAAGCGGAGAGGAGCAGTGCCCCCAGGAGTCAGGCATGACCAGGCTTTAAGGTCATGGGAAACCTTTACCTTTTATTTTACTCTTAAATATAGGTGGGTGGGTGGGTGGGTGGGTGGGTGGATGGATAGATAGATAGATAGATAGATAGATAGATAGATAGATAGATAGATATTTTGTACTCCTGCCAACCTTGGGACCCTCCCAAGCATGCCGGTACACCCCTCTTGCTTTGCAGGGGCCCCATGTGCTCTGCAAATCCCATTGGCTATGCTTGGTATTAGGGGCGCCTTTGGGCCCCACTAGGGCCTCTCACAGGGACCCAGAAAATAGGGACTGCGGATACTCACTGGCGGATGCAGTCCGGGATGTGGACTTGCTCCAGCGGGATCAGCCGTGCCAACTCCTCCAGGCTGTCCACAAACCGCAGTTTTCGGCTGAACTTGGAGCTGGAGGGATAGAGAAGTGGCGGGGTGGGAGAGGGTGCCTTCCAGCTGTGGTCTTCAAGCGGCGTCCCACCAGAGCAGCCTCCCCCGCCTCCCCCCCACGGCCCCCCGGCCTGGTCTGGAGGCCTCCCGATCTGCTCACACCGTTTTCCGCCGCCCACACCACTGCAGACATGCGGCCACAGTGCCCAGGTCTGCCGTTCCCAGTCCTGCTCGGAGGAGTTCGGGACAGGCAGGCAGGCGGGACTGGTTTCTCCTCTCCCGCCACAAACAGCCAGCCTACCTGAGGAAAGGTCTGCAGAGGGCCGTCAGAGCTCTGACGTACCACGTGGGGTGGACAACGATCAAAGTCTGCAGGTTTTTCCGGAGCCTGCCAAACAAAACCACAATGCCGAAAGGGCAGGAAGCCGTGCCCCAGAGTCCCTCCATCGCAGCGATGCAGGGGGCCGCCCCGCTCTTGCCAAGGGAGAAACCGGGCCTTGGCGGAGGCCTCTTGAGGGAAAATGGTGTATTTGATTTTGCAGCTTGGTCTTGCTGGAAATAACCCCAAATGCAGCCACGGGTAGAAACCACGCCAGCCCATCCGCTCCTGGCTTACCGCCGGTCGATGGTTTGGTAACACTCCTTGATCCAGGTGAAGGAAGGAATTTTGCTCCGCGGGGCGGCGCCATTGAGACACACAAGCATATAGTTCTCGGCCACCATGAGCTCTAGGGTCCCTGTTATGTACCTGCGGAAAGGGGGCAGCAATGCCACGGCATCGGCCTTAAACGCTTTAAACAAGGCCAAACTCTCCCTGCCTCAAATTTACCGCATTGTCAGAACGGTTTTGAGAGGCGAGGAAGAGTCAGATCAACCGAGAGTGCAAATGTGGCGGCATTTTTACACAAGTGAGGAGGCCACAAAGAGCGCTACACCAATTCCAGCAGCTGGAACAGAAGGAAATGGGCAGGGGACCCACAAAAGAGGCCTCTTCCCTCCTCATCCCCTTTCCTTTTGTGCTGTGTCTTTTTTAGAGCAGAGGACTGTGCCTCCAGGTTCAAGGGCCACCTTCCTCCAAGTCCCAGTTGCTGAAATCTAGGCTGGCCGTTTACGCGCCACCAGAAAAGGGGGAAGAAGACGTGGATACACATATGCCGGGATGCATGCTCAGCAATGGGGACTACAATTTAAATAGAAATACAGTCCATGGCACACTAACCGGAAGGGTGCCATCTGAGGACTGCAAGCTAGAATTGATGGGACTTGCAATCCACCATCTGGAGGGTCGCATGCACCCCACCCCTGAAGGAAAGGATGCCTTCCAAAATTTATTTATTTTTTCTATCCCGTCCCCTACAGAACATCTTGGGACGGCTTACACAAAGAGGACTGGCCAGTGTGAAGTAGGGCCCAGGACCACCCCAGGACCACCAGGGAGCTGGGCCAGGCTCATGTCGGGGTCTTGCATCTCCTTGAAGAGCTGGAGGCAAGCTCTTGGGTCTGGGTCTCCCCCTCTCAGCCGGCACTCACCTGAAGAGGTTCCCCATGATGTACGGATAATTCGGGACGCTGCTCTCCGGCAAGTAGCAGGAAGCGAACGTGATGATGGCATTCAGGCCTTCGCCATAATACCCTGCGGGTCAAGGGCAGGGAGAGCAAACGGGTCGTTCGCGGGTCTTACGCAGCCCAGGTACAACGTAAGCCAGCTCTGGCGAGGGATAGGAAATTTGCTCTGCCAGTTTTTTGCCAGTCTCCAGGTTTGCCAAATTTGCCCCTTCTCGACCTGGAAGATGGCAGCACTGCAAAACACGCAGCTAGCATGCTTTTCCAGGGCAGGTGGTTCCCTGGGAAAGCATGTGTGTGTGCACACACACAATTGCGTGTCTGAGAAAAGTGCACAGTCTAAAGAATTCCAGGGGAGCAGCATGTGTATGTTTGAAAACACACAAAAGTGTGTTGTGGCTGCACTGGCTACAAACACGCACACATCTGAAGAACTGGTTTCATTAAAAAAAGGCAAGATTCCTTGGATGAGGGATGACCTAAGTGTGACTGCAAAGAGCGACAACGTTGGCTCAGCTGAGACCAGAGGGCCTTTCCGTCCCTCCGCCGGACTTTGCATAAAGGTGCTCAGGCTGATGGACATGACTCCGGCCAGGACACGGCCAAAGGCTCGCCCTGGTGACCCAACGCTGTTTGCAGTGTGTTTCTGGAAGCAGGGGTTCACAACCCTCAGGGGATCACACCCCTGACCCCCACTTATTTAGCCAGTTGTGGCTTTTCTACTGTCCGCTGTGCCCCGCCACAGACCGGACAGCTGTTCCGAAGGCATCCTTCCCAGCCTGAGGAACTTTATGCTCAGCTCGTCGGGTGTCCTGCTGTCTCTGGACCAGGATCCAGCCTTCTCTCTCCTCCCCGAGGTCTGTAGCCAGAGGGGAGACTCGGAGTCGTTACCTCCATGGGAGATGACCCTCTTGTACGGTTCAATGGCACTCAAGTCCACCTTCGTCTCCTGTTCATCCATCAGGAAGATCCGCCACTTCCGGCCATCCTGGCCCTTGACGTCCACCACGCGGCCTGCGCAAAACTTCTCCGGGAGGTTGCCATCCACGCGCCGGGCCCTGGGGAGGTCATCTGGGGACACGTGTTGGGGGGACTCAGGTGAATGCCGGGCGACGCCACCACCGCCCCCTCACACGGCGCGGCCGCCTGCCCTCACCTTCCCACTCGAAGGCATGCTCGTCCTCGGAGCCCTCCTGCGGCTCGCTGTCGGACGGCGTCTCCAGCTCGTCCACGTCGATGTCCAGGCTGCCCTCCGGCGTGGCCCCCGGGAGCTCCCCGGACTTCACGGAGCCCTCGCTGAGGTCGGGCGCTGGGAGGCGTCGCCTCATGTGCCGCCGGCCGCACAGCTGCAGGGTGTTGATGGCCACTGTGGGGAGAAGCCGGCAACGGGGGCCAGTGGCCGGGCAGAGGGTGGCCCCAGGGAAGGGCCAGCCAGCCCCCCTCCCAGCTCATCCCTGGGCCGTACCTGGGCTGAGCTCCGAGCTGGATTCTTCCGGGTCCTCCTCAGAGACCTCCTCTGGCAGCGGCCTGAAGGGCAAGCGGGGAAAGCGGCCCCTTTTGAGGATGGAGGGGGCGGTCCGAGAGCGGCAGCGCTCGCCGGCCTTCGATGCAGCGGGAGGGCGTCTCAGGCCGTGGCATCGTGTCCCTCCCCACCCCTGGCTGTGGGGTTGCCCACATCTGAGAGCAGTGGGGGGGGGATCCCAACCTGGCCTGCCCAGCCTGGCCCAGAGAGCCGCCCCCTTCTCCTGCCTGAGCCCCACCCTCATTTCCTGGCTCTTGTGGGCTTTCCCCCTGCCAAGTAAAGTCGAAACGCTCCTCCAAAGACTCAGCGTCTGGCAGCAAGAGCTTAAAACTGTTTCGAGGCTGACACTTTTGGAATTTTGGACCGCACCCCCTTTAAAGTTTTGTAAAATTTGTGGGAGCTTTAATGAATGATGGTGTAGAAAAACTTAAATAAATAAACAGATGGATTTGGCTGCCAGCACCTGAGGAATTGCTCCTCTAAGATAAGGGGAGCCTGGCTGGGTCAGACTACCTGCCCCCCCGTGACGGTGTCTGCTTTGCCACACGTGCCTCCATATCCCGACTCTGCCTCTGTCGCCTGCCCTGTGTGCTGTTCCATAAATTGCAAGGTCTGCGGGGCAGAGATCTTCCTTTTCTAAAGCATTGCATCCTATCAGGAGGCCACTGAAATCGCAAAGAACCCTTCCCCATTCGTGGCATTCTGAAGGTGACCTTCACGGACACCCCCGCCCCGCCCAGCACAGCGATTTCTCTTCGGTCACCTGCTGCATCCAGCATTCAGAGCTAGATAGACTGCCCCCAACATGGAGGCTCCACTAAGCCGGCACAGCCCACATGGCTGCCCTTCCCCGGGCTCTCTGCCACTCGCCCCACCGGCAGGCTGCTTACCGGGGGAATTCATCATCTTGCCACTCTTCCCTCAGCTCCATGTCCTTGATGGTGACGGCCCCTTCTCCCTGCGGGGGCGACGTGGCGTGCTCTGCCTCCCTCCTCAGCCTGTGTGGCCAAAGGCACAGGGGTCGCGTCAACAGCAGAAGCCCTCTGGCGGCCCCTCGCCCCGGCTCCCAGATCCTCCCAGCTCCCCCATGAGCAGGCCCTTTCCCTGAACACGCCACTGGAACGTCTCCTCCTCCATCTTCGGCCGGTTAGATCCAGTCCTGCCCGCTCTGTGGACTCCCACCATCGATCGGAGGTAACTCTCGCCTTGTTCCGTTGGACTGACTTCTCAGCCCGCCCCGTAAGGCATGCCAGCCCCTTCCTTCCCCCTGTGCTGCCCCTTATCCCTGGAACCCTCTCTGGAGACGCCCCTGCAATGCTCTGCCTCGCTTCTAAGCCCCTCTGAAAAACCTCCCTTTGCACTGAGCTTACCTGGGTGCTCCGTCAGGTCTCTACACCTGAAACATCACACAGACTCACAGCTGTCTTTACCTGGCTGCTCTTCCGCCAGGAACTTCTCTGCCAGCCTTCTTCTCTGAACAGATCTTCCTTCCTTCCTTCCTTCCTTCCTTCCTTCCTTCCTTCCTTCCTTCCTTCTTTCCTTCTCATTTTCCTTCTTTCCTCCCTCAAACATCTCTATATTTCCCTCCTCCTATATATTTTCGGTCTTTTTATTCCTCCCATATCTGAACCCCTATCTCACCTCCTCTGTGCACCTCGATCTGCCCTTCTCCCTCCCCTCCTTCTGCATGAAACTTTGCTCCAATTCCATGTTACGTCGCGGGGGCTTTCAATACAAGAAGAGCCATGCCTTCTTTTCTTGCAGAGGCTTCATAGGAGGAAAGAGCAGGAGCTGAAGGTTCAAAGGGGCACCGAACTACTTAAAACCCTCTTAGGAGAAGAGGCCACTGCAGCGCCGCAGCCAGGCCTGGAATCTCCTTCAGTCAGAGAGTCCCGGCACTCATCCCTCCTGCACCATCTTGCCTGGAATGCCGCAGCCCAGAAAGGGACAGAGAAGTGATTATATCACGCTCTGTAATGTCCTCCGCAATTTCACCTCCCGTTTGCCGTTCTTTGCTCTGCCTCTCCTGCCAAATTTTGTTTGCAAGCCCCTCGGGGCAGAGATCTTGCACGGAAGCGCTTCTGCTTCCCCTGCCTCGGTTCCCAACCTGCCTCTCTTGGCCGCCCTGCCTGTCGCGTCCTATAAAGCGGGCGATGAGCCGAAGACCTTCCCTTTCCGGAGCACCAGGTGCGGGCATGCAATGGCGAAGGGCGGCCCTCCAGAGCGGACCACGGCTGAGATCCTGGCACCACACACACACACGCACGCACACCTTGAGGGACAGGAATTTTCCAGCTGGGCAGCCAAACTGGAGGGAAGTCCAGGAAAGAGAAGGCTGTAAAGATGCCACCCTCCTTCTGCTGGCGAACTCCATGCAAGGCACCCAGACGCAGCGGAGAGGAGGCCCGGTGGCTGAAGGGTAGGGCTGAGTTTGTGGTTGGCAGCCACACCCAGAAAAGAAACCTTAGTAACTCCATCTCAGCTGGCTGCAGAAGTAGTGTGCTTTGTCTGTAAGTGTACAGAACACACACACACACACACACACACACACACACACACACACACAATCTCTCTCTCTCTCTCTCTCTCTCCCTCCATGGGAAAGCTGAGCAAAGTATTTCATTGCTAAAGGACAAGGTAAACAGAAGATGCACCCTGCTGGTTCAGACCGTGGAGTTTGCCAATGAGAAATCCACTGGCCAGGCATGGAGTACACCCCTCTCCCTTGCAACTGGTATTTGGAGATAGACTGCTGCAGCACGTGGAGGTTCCATTCCAGCCAAATTGATCCCAGTAGGGAAGAATCCAGACTGAATGAGTCCAGTCCTGGGAACTAGCATTTCAGAATGTGGGGGAAAGTGTATGGAAACTGGAACCCCATGCAATGATTCAATGATTCTATGAAATGACCGGCAGCTAGGAAGAAGGGGTGGGCCCTTTGCAAAAGTGCTAACCCTAATCCTTCACAAAAACCGGACAGGCCAGCCTGGAAGGTAGGATTCAGTGCCCCTCCTTGAGGCTCCTTTTCCATGTATTCGGTTGATCAAGGTGGCCGTCCCCAGCAGCTGCTCCCTGGTACCGCAGGCGGGCTGCAAATCATCACCAAATTTTCCTTGTCCTCCAGGTTCTGCAGTTTTCAGCCTCTGTCGCCAGCAGTAAAGTCACTTTTAGTGAAAAATCTGACAGCAGTCATTTGATCAACTGGTCTTATCACACGTTGCAATGGCTTTCTTCTGTGACCAACCTTGAGCTGGATCGTTCTAAAAACATTGGTTTGCAGGGGATGCCGTATGAGGCGAGACTGAGGGAACTGGGTCTCTTCAGCCTGGGGAAGAGGAGACTCAGAGGGGATCTGTTGGTGACATACAGGTATGTGAGGGGATGTCACACGGAGGTGGGTAGAGACCTGTTCTCCCCTGCAGAGGAAGGCAGGACGTGCTCCAACGGAGCAAAGCTCAGGGAGCCAAGGTCCCATTTAGATGCCAGGAAGCACTTCCTGACAGGTAGGACCCCATGGGTAAGGAATGGGCTTCCACGGGAGGTGGTTGAGGCCCCATCGGTCCAAGGATAGGCTGGACATCCACATGGTGGGCATGTCGTGAGCGGAGCCGGCTGGAGCCAGGGGTCAGACTAGATGGCCCGGGAGGCCCCTTCTGACTCGCTCTGTTTCTATGTTTCTAAAATGGAAAATGGGGAATATACCCTCCGAAATAAATAAACCCGATATAGTCATCTTTTTGGTGGGGGGAACACATCTGGAATTATGACTTTTTTCCCTTACTGGATGGGGAGGACTGGAAGTTGTGGGGAGGGGGAATTCTGTCTAAAGAGAGAAAATGAATCCTTAGATGGCCTTATAGTGGGACTAGAGAAGCTTTGGAAGAAGGCGAGCTGTGGGAGAGCTCAGTGGAACCTCCCACATCAGGAGCAGTCTACTTCTAGGTACCGTGTGCCAAGCACAAGCCCTGATGGTGACCTTTCCAGAGGCAAGTGGCCAGCCCTGTTTGCCAGAGACCTGACTCCCTTTCTTCCTGGTTTGCCGGCTGGATGCGTATGAAGGCGAGGTGGCTGCTTCTGCGTAGCCCTGCATTCCAGATCGCTGACCTGTTCCTTTCACTCCCACCCGTCATCCCAGGCATGAATCACCCTGTTCTCGCTCTGCCCCGGCCAGCCGAACGGGTCCTCACACAGCCGTACCTTAAAAGGCAGGGCTCGTGGGCTGCTGTCCCGCACACGGGGGCAGGAGACGAGGAGGCCTGTCCAGAGCAGCATTGTCCGCCACAGCCCAAACCAAGAGTCGGCCTCCAGGACTAGCAATTTTAGGGGGCAAAAGCGTCCATGGACGAGGGGCCGCTTCTTCAGGAACTGCTCAAGGAGAAGCAGGATATAAATATTCCCTTGTCCCCCTCATGCAAAAATGTGATTCTCTCTTGGCTATGCTATGCTAGTCGCGAAGTTGCGTCTGGCCATTGAGACCGCATGGACAACATTCCTCCAGGACTTCCCATCCTCCACCACCCCCGGAGTCCACCTAAGCTCACACCCACTGCTTCAGTGACCCCCTCCAGCCACCTCATCCTCTGCCGTCCCCTCCTTCTTTTGCCATCTATTGTTCCCAGCATTAGGCTCTTCTCCAGGGAGTCCTTCCTTCTCATTAGGTGGCCAAAGTATTTGAGCTTCATCTTCAGTATCTGGCCTTCTAAAGAGCAGTCAGGGTTGATCTCCTCTAGGACTGACCGGTTTGATCGCCTTGCGGTCCAAGGGACTCGCAGGACCTCCTCCAGCACCACAGTTCAAAGGCCTCAATCCTTTGGCGCTCAGCCTTCCTTATGGTCCAACTTTCACAGCCATACATTGCAACTGGGAATTAATATCAATATTAATTACATCCCTTGCAGTACAATCCTAGGCATGTCTCATCGGCAGTAAGCCCTTGAGGCTCAAGGGGGCTGAAATGCCAGAAGCAAAAGCAACAGGTGAGAACAACAGGGACAGGATCCGAAATGCAGCTTTTCAGTGACAGCGTAAAGACAAAAGGCCCCATTGCAAGAAATAGAAGATAACAACCTAGAGACCTCTTGCAGAAGATCCAAGACATCTATGGGAAATTTAAACCTAGTTTAGGAATGCTGATAGATCAACAGGGAACAAGGAGAAAATAACGAGAAGGTGGAAGTGATATACAGAAGAGATAAAAGGAGGAATTTTCCTGGAAGAGGAATTTTCAACTGCCACCATCAGCAGCACTTCCAGCAGGTTGTATGTACAAAGAGAAATGCCATTCCACCAAAATTTATTGCCTGAAAGCCATTTCACCAGACTTTTTGGCTGGGGAGTGGGCTTGTGGTTGTTGTTGTTAGTCGCAAAATCATGTCCAACCCATCGCAACCCCATGGACAACATTCCTCCGGGCCTTCCTGTCCTCCACCATCCCCTGGAGTCCCCTTAAGCTCACCCATGCTTAAATATAGACATGGGGTGTTGCCTCCACAGCTGGTGGCAGGAAAGGCCACGAGGCTTCCCTGCCTCTGCAGGTCTACTCTTGAGGAGGGAGGAAGCACTCACGCAAAGTCGCCTTTGGAGTCGAGGCAGGAGAAACCGGCCTCTTTCAGCCCCAAGGGCCAAAATCAGGGCTGGGGGGACTCCGGAGGGACCTTTCTGGGGTGGGCAGGACTAAAGGCGCCCGGCTGAAACACTGAAGAAGCCCTTCTATTTCAGCTTGAAGCATTTCGGCCTCTTAGCACAGCTGGAGGAATAATTGTCGTTATTGTGTTAATTGTATTGTTTTTCTTAGTTGTAAAAAATAATTTTACAAAAAGAACAGAGGGAGGAATTGTTGCTGTTTTGTCAGTTCCCATGACTTGTACGCTGAAGTCAGTATCAGAAATTTGACAAAAGCATCCGTCTTGTGGAGGCCACAGCCTTTGAGTCATGGATATTCCCTCCCTACCCTTCAATGGCTTGAACAAGGTTGCCTCCCACACATGCTCAGAGGCACTCTGGATAATCTGCTTGCGCATCCTTCAGGGTGTAGTCCAGCATGGCAAAGAGGTTTTGGGGCTCCCACCCTTTAATCAGTTTTGCAAATGAGACTGGAATGGGGATTCCTGCCTGAACACCTCAGCCTTCCAAAGTGGGGGAGCCAAAGAGATTTATGAAAAACAAACATCACTCTAAAACCTCTTAGAGATATTTTTATATACGGATAGCAGCTTGTAAATTTAGGAATTAATAAAAGCTGAAAGAGAGCTGATGAGTATCCGATTTGGCCGGCTCCAAGAGCAAACAGACACGCTTTAACACAGATCTTGCAAATGCTTGGACGGAAGATGGGGGACCCAGGAATAAACCAATTTTAATGCCATGGGGCTTCTTTCCATGTAGTTATCTGTAGGATTGCATTGCGGGGTGACATTTGGCCAACTCTGAACTGTTGGTTTTACTCATTTGTCTTCACTTGCTCAATGTGAAAAAGTGGGGGTTGAGCCTCAAAAGATTTCGGGCACAGAATGTACTCCTCGTTCCCCAAACTCTGTAGGTTCGGGATATTCCTTTTAAGCCCTGCGAGGCAGCGAGAAAGAGCAGGCCTAACCCAAACCTCCACTGAAATGAACGTGCATTTGTCTGACCCTGCCTCCCTACAAGCAGTGGGGATCCCCAGATTCCTGGAACTACAACCCTCATCATACCTAGCCACACTGGGGCTGGGGTTGGTGGGGGTTATAGTCCCATGTACCCAGAGGAAACCAGACAGTTTTGAACCCACACAGCAAATTCGTAATTTTATTTGTCTGCGGGGGCAAGGAAAGGCCTTCCCATCCTAACACCTCCTGTTCCAACACTGCATGCAAACTAAGGATGGAGTCCATCGGAGCCATCCTAAGCATTGCTAAGATTCCAGTCTTCTGCTTGCGACCCAGAAGCTGGATGCAAAGAAGATTCCCACTGTGCACGTGGGATCCATTCCAGGTGGATCCCCAACGCTTCCCAATTCAAACGGCTCACCTTTCCGGTTGAAGGACCGCTTCTTCTCCTGCGTGGGACCCCATCGGGGCCTGAGATTCAACTACCTGCCAAATGCCTCCTCTGCTCGTTTTGAAAGCGGGGAGCGCAAATGACAATCCTGGGATATCCCTCAGACGCCAGCACAGGGCTAGACTTGCCCAAACAGGTTTTTCAGGATGGTGAGAAGCGATGGAGAACTCCTGGGTCCTAACGCCACAACATACAGTTAAGGAAGAAGCAGCTTGGTTTTGGAGGTGGGCAGAGGAGGACGCCCCACTGAATGCAGTAAGAGAATAAATAAATAGAAATCCGGAAGTTTCTTCCCCCCTCTCTCCTTTTCTCTCTACCCACGCATAGGATTCCACCTCAAAATGTTCAGAGTGTTTAAGAAAGGTTATGCATGAGGCATCATGTCCAGCGTTGTGTCCCAGTCCTGCTTATACCAGAATTCAGATCAGCCACGAGAACTGATTGGTGGTTGAATTTGTCATTTGTTGTGGTGGTTTTATTATCCATTCCAATTCCGATCTGGTTTTACTATTACTATTGTTGATCATGTTGATAATTGATCGATCCATTTCTGATAATGATGGTAATAATAATAATAATGGCATCTGTTTGTGATTAATATATGAATCATCAGTAGATAGCAAGAACAAGTGACTGCAATTTCTTACATTTGCACGTTTCGCACCAACTCTGCCCTCTTGTGGTGGGTTGTGTGAAGCGACAGCCGCAAAAAGTAATTTCTCTTTTTCTCTTGGCGAAATAAACACCCCCATCCAAGAAGGGGGTGCGCTTTTGGTTCTGCAGAGGAAACGAGGATGGCAAACAGCTGCAGGTCGGGCACCAGAACAAAGCAGTGGAAAAGGGACTCCTGCATAAAATCTGAGCTGGCCAGCAAGTGCGGACGGATTTACAAGACGGGTTTGGCCTCTTCGGCTGCTGCCGCCTCACTCGGAGCCCTCAGAAAAGGCGAGGCTCTGTAGGAAGCCGGCTGGGGTCACAAATGGCCCACCAACTACAGCTCCCATCACCTCCAGCTAGCATGGCGTGGCTGGGCTTGATGGGAGCTGTACCCCAACCCACCCAAAGGCAGCCAGGCTGAGCAAGCCTGCCCTGGACAGCAGGGATTGAGACGGCTCGGTTTGGTGCAGCCTCAGTTGAAGGGGGAGCTTGCCGATTTGGAAATAAATTGTACAGGTCCTTTTAATCAATGTATTTATTTCTAGGACTCCGACACCTCTCTACACCCGACGGATTCTGGGGTGTGAAAACATAGAATAATAAAAAATGGAAGAATAGAAGCAATGCACTGAAAACAAATTAACATTAAGACCACAGAGGGTCAAAGACTGTCTTTAGCAGAGCCCAAAAAGTGTTGGGTGTTTCTTTGACCTCCCGAAGCAGGGAATCCAACAGGTGGGGCCGCCATGTTGCAGGCCCGTCTCCTGGAGGACTCCAGTTGGGTCGGGGTCCACGTGGAAGCACCAAGAAATTGTCCTCTGATGATCTGAACGGGCAGGATGGGCTCCAGGAACAGGAAGCAATTCCGGCTGGACGCTGGGGAAAACTCCCCTTTAGAGCAGCTCAGGTGGTGGCTCTCCCCCCGGAGGAATCTGAGGTCCAGCTGGATCGGCATCAGTGAGGGATGCTTTGGCACGGAGGGCTGCCTCGAGAACTCCAACCCCACTATCCCAGGATCTTAAGAAGGGACTTCCTTGGCCATCTTCTCCCAAGTCGCCCCACTGCTAGCACTTTTCAGCTGGCCCATGGCAAAGCAGCAGCCGCCAGCGGGGGGGGGGGGGGGGGAGACGACTGCAGCAGTGTGGCTTTCCATGGACGTATGTGCCTGCCGTAAGTGCAGCTGGGAAAGGTTCAGAAGTGTAAAGGCCCAACCAGAAACGGAAGGTCTGCCGGAGGAAAAGACCTGGAGTGCTACAGCACCCAATGCAGGGAAGGGCAGCTGCTCACCCTGTTGGTTTTGGGGAGCATAAATGAACAAGGCACAACCCACCCGCTTTGGTTCTCAAAAGCTCCCCGATGAGCAAAACCTGAACAGGAGGGGTAAGGATTCCATCAGGGCACTTCTGGAGTCCATCTTGTTCCTGACACGCACCTCGCCCCTTCGCCTGCGAAAGTTAATCATCAGCAAGCGAAGGGCCGCCTTCTCCTTGCTCACATTTCCAGAGGCTCTCCGCCTCCGCCATGGGAATTAACAGCCCCAAACGTTTCGTGACTTTGCCAGCTGTCCGGGGCTTCAGTGTGCCACCAAGTGGGAAATGCAGGCCACGATTCACGCAGGGGCTGGCAAGGAGCGCCACCTTCCGTGGGCTCGTGAATGGGCCCGAAGGCGGGGGGTGGGGACCGAGGCAGAGCCGAACGGGACAGGGCTGCTCCTCGGCTCCTCTGGCAGAGGTCGCTGGAGCAGCGTCCCAGCGGGACCACGGGCCTGGCCTGAGTTTGGCCCTGGGTTGAAGGGGCTACCTCTGTTGCCGAGCTGAGGGGACTCGGCTGCAGCACCATGGACAGCAGCTCAGCAGGTTAAGAGCAGCCCCCCCCTCCCCGGCCATGCCCTTCCTCCCCCTCGCAAGCCCTGTGTGGCTGCTGCGGGAGGGGGCGGATCGCGCTGCTTCTCTGTGCTGCGGGAGGGATGCTTTCCAAGCAAGCGCGTCCCTACAGCAGGAAGCCCAAGGCAGACGTGCCTCTGGTCTTCCGTGGAGGGAACTGGAGAAGAAAACTGAGGCGCAGAGCAATCCGAAACACGCTCAGTCGAGCCGGATGTCACAAGGTGTGAGTTTTCTTTATTCCTCTGAAGTGTATTAAATCCATTCCAAGCAAGCCTCTCAATCTCTCTAGCAACGTATTAGGGATACACGTAACACCCGCGTTAAATGATCCGGCTCACGTTTGGATCGCTTCGAAACCAAGCCAGGCCGGAACGGAATGTGAGGGGCCAGAAGGTGCCTTGGCATCGACGCCCCTCCCCATGTCTCACTGCCCTGCGCCAGACCTGAGAAACGCTTTTCCACAGGCGGGTCCCCGAAATGTGCAGAACCACCTCGGCCATGAAAAGGTGACCATGCGCAAGCGGAGAACAGCCGCCCTGTGGGACCAGGGGCTCCCAAGCCAGAACCGTGGCCCCGACACCCCCTGCAGAGAGTGGAGCGGAGCCAGATCGAAAGGGACTTTGCGGCAGGGCAGAGAAGAAACGAACAGGACAGCAGCCGCTGCTGGGCGGCCTAGAATACCGTCCCCAGGGAGGGTGCTGGAACTCCCAGCCTTCGGGGTATGCGAGGAAGGCACCCCCTTGCCCAAGAGAGGCAGGCGCTCCTTCCCCTGTCCCAGCCCAGGTCATTTGCATGCAGCCACAGGTACAGGCAAGATGCTTCACGAGCCCTTCCTGCGACAGGCAGGGCTTCCTGGGACTCGGTCTCACTGGTCCCCCCGAATGCGCAGCACCTCAGAATCAATGTGGAAGCAAGTGGTGGGGGAAAGCCAGTGGCTCCCTCCCTCCCTCCCAGGTTAGCGTGGGGGGGTGGCTTTAACCCCTGTGCTCCGGCTTGGGGGCCTGGCCTGCAATGGGCCTGGCCCCACTCTGGCCCTCTTAGTTGAACTAAGGGAGAGACGGCTGCTGCTGGCCACGTCTTGAGAGCAGGTGTGGCCCACAGGAGTCTCCTCTCCTCTGTTTCCTAGAGCTCCGCATCCCATCATCCACACCACCCTGTGGATGCACGTCTCCCCACCCCTTGCCCTCGCCACCTCGAGGCTCCCGCAACCGGTCCTGTGCACGTCGCTGTTTCTCATCACAGCAACCCGGAACAGAACGGTCCCGCGCACAGGCTCCGGCCGGGCTGCAGTTCGCGCCTGGGGGGGCCACCGACGTTGCAGGAGCGACGGACTTCGCCGGATCGCTCCCCGCGGCCCACCCCCAGGCAGGGAAACTCCGCACGAAGCCGCTCTTCTCTGCACCTTGTTTCCGTCCGACACGGCATCCCGACTTCCCAGCTGTGCGGGGCCCTGGGCTGCGTGTGGGACACGCCCCACAGCATGGGGCCTTGCGACTCTTGCACCGCCGCTCACGCGCACACTCTCGCTCGCTCGCTCACACACACACGCACAACTGCGGCCCCCGGAGGAGCCCGGCCTGTGCCGCTCACTTCTTCTCGGGGCTGCCGTCCGTGCAGGAGGGAGCCGCCGTGATGCGGTTGAACTTCTCAAAGACGGCCTCCACCGACAGTTTGGGCAGGCCCCGGTCGAGGGGGCACTCGTCCACCAGGCTGTTCATGGGAGTGGGCGGCAGCGGGGCGTCGTCGTCCGCCAGGTCGTCCCCCGGGTGGGGAGAGGGCTTGGCGGGGTCCTTCGGGGTTGCCTCGCGCTCCGGCCCGCCGCTCACGGCGCCCCCGGGCTGCAGCCTGGGCTCGTGGCTCTGGCCCGCGGCCTCGGGCTGCATGGCGGCGCAGGCGGGGTCCCGCCGGTCCCACTCCCTCAGGAAGTCCTTGACGACGGGCAGGACCTTCTTGCGGGAGGCCGCGGCGTTGCCCTGGTCGTAGGCGCAGAGGGCAGCGAAAGGGCTCTCCAGAGGAGACAGGCGCAGGTGCGGGTCGCAGGAGCGCTCCAGGGTCCGGCACACCTGAGAGGAAGGGAGACACACGCATTAAGGACGCTGCAGGAGCAGCCCTGGCAAGGCAGGGAAGCCGACGGCCCGCGCTGCTCTGCCGGGCCAAGGAAACACGCTGCCGCGCTGGGGCACTGGGGTCCGCGGGAAATGAGAGCAGCCTCACTCAGAACAGATGGGCGAATCCGTTTTAAGAGAAGAGGAAGTCAAAGAGGGCCCTTGTTCCAGCGAGCGGGGCTCGTTTTCCTCCAGCGCCACCAAAAAGGGGCGTACGACTTCTGATGCCAGCGCTAATCAAAGCTGCACCCAAGGGAGCGTGGGCTCTTGCGGCGTGGCTCTCGGCAGAGGAGGGAGGGACTCCCACCCACAGCCCTGCTTTCCTCCGGGTAACCAAAGCAGGCGGAGACCGAGAAGCCTTGTAAGGCGCTGCAAGGGCTTCAGGTGGCAAGCAGAGCTGCAGAGGAGGCCTTCCGGGGGCTCCCTCGCCCGTCAGCATCCTCCCCTCCTTGGATGAGAGGCTCCCCTTCCACATCACAGAGACCCCCGAGGGACACATGCGCGCAGGACCCAAAAACAAGCCCAGCTTTTCGCCACAAAGCTGCCCCTTTGCTCATGTACGAATATAAACCGTGAGATTAAGAATAACCCATCCAGCCAGCTAAGGGTTCTTTCCCTGAGTGAAAGAACCTGATGTGTGAAGACTGCCAGAGCAGGCCGAAGGCCCGCTGCGCCCAGTAGCCAGTGTCCACACCAGGGGCTGCCCAGGGCCTCAAGGCAACAGTCCTCACATGGGGGTCCCCTGCCCCCTCCTGGCGAAGAGGTAGACTGCTTCAGTGCATGGAGGCTCCACTGCTGATGAGAGAGGCCAGTGGGAAGCTGAATGGAGCCCCACTGGATCAGGACCGAGCCGCCTCGTCCCAATTGGGCCTGCCCGACCAGCTGCTCTGTGGACTGACAGAAGCGGGGCAGGGAGTCAGCCATCCAGTCTGTGCTCGCTCTCAGCTCCCAAGACGATCGTCTACCTTTCCGGGATGGGGGGGCGGTTACAGGTGCAACTCCCCTCATACCCAGCCAGGTAGGAGATGACGGGCACTGTAGCCTCATGCATCTGGAGGGGACCAGGTCGAAGAGGACTGTTCTAGGAGGACCACCAGCCGTCCTGAGAGGTTGGCAACGGAGAGGAGGGCGGGCAGATCCTGAGCCATGCACGTTCCGAGATCAAGGAGCCCCCACACGTCCCGCTTTCCTCCCCAGCACCTGCCCTGGCCCCCGAGCCGCACCCCCGCTGGGAGACCCACGGGAAGGGCCCTCTTCCGTTCCTCCCTCTGCCCCGGCCAGCCCTCCCCAAACGGCACACCTGGACTGCAGCACCGCCAGCCGCCACGACCCACACAGGACGCCAAGGGGCCACACGCCCTTGCCCGGCTCCCTCGCACCCCACCGGCTTGGCTTCGGTTCCCCAGGCCGCCTCTGCACCGCCCTCTTTGAGCCCTCCCAGGAACGTGGAAGTCAGCTGAGGCTGGGCTGGGACTCCGCTGCCCCCAAGCAATGACTCACCCCGGCTCCTGTCAGCTGCCCGCACCCATCACGGCCCGTGGGAGGAACTCAAGGCACCCCCAGAGCAAGCCGAGGCCCAAAGCGAGCTGAAAGAGCACGGCCGGTGTTGGCTGAGGCAGACGGCCCTCCGGGCAGGGGGCTGCAGAGCGGCGACACCCAAGCCAGAGCTGCTCCTGGATGCGGCTCCTCGGAAACCGCTTCCCCGGCGGTGCGTCCACAGCGCAGGGCTTGGCAGCGGGGACCAGCCCTCCCCAGGGGGGCCGAGCTTGCCACGGCCGTGCCAAACGCAACTGGTCGCACCCAAGAGCACCCCGAGGCCCGCGGCTGCCCTGCCTGGAAAGTGCCGGCAAGGAAAGAGGGCCTTTCCCATGCAGTTCAGCCCCAGGGGAGCTGAAAAGCAGCCCAGAGAAAGGCCCTCATTTGCATTCATCCAGGAAATGCAGGCAGGGAGCGAATCTTTGCAGCTGCTTGAAGAGCGAGTGGCACAGCCCCCTTCCTGCGCGAAGAAAAGAAAAGGGGGCAGGGGCTGCAAGGAGGGCGGCTTCCTGAGCTCGGCCAACTTTCCCACACCGGACGCCCTTTTCGCAGGACGGTTCCACAAGCCCTGCTGGGGGGCAGTGCGATCTGGTCCCCTTGCCACTTTGTCCGTCTAGGTACGGGCCCTTTTCCAACCCGCCTGTGGGGACTGCCCAGCTGGACGGGGCCCAAGCCAGCCGCTGCAAGAGCATCACTCGGGCCGAGCGGTGAGATAAAGAGACCACATACAAACAAACAAGGACGGCGACGCAAAGCACGGTCCTGCTTCTCACCAAACAGGCATCTGGGGTTGCTGCTGTTCCTAAGCCAAGGCCCGGGTGTTTCGGGCTGCCTGACCTGGAGGGGCTGCAGCCAAATGCAAAGCAGGAAACAAAAACAAACACACACACACACGTGATGTTGACCGTCTGGGGTGGGGGGGGTTCAACGTGCTTGCTGGGCCTGAGGCCAAGGTGGGGATGGCAGCACGTGCAGGCCGTATGCTAAAGATGTGCCTGACCCTGACCGAGAAAGGGGTGCTGCGGGAGAGGTGCTCCAGGGCGTCAGGCTGCCCCAAAGCCCCCCCGGGCTCCCCTGTTCTCTCTGGGCTTCACTGCCGTTTGCTTGGGAATGCTCAATTAAGGCCCATTCGCTTCCGGGAAGGGAGTCGGGTCTTGGAGTCTCCTTGTGGGCAGAGCAGGGGCAACCCCATGAGGACCAGCCTGCGGCATGCCTGCCTTCCCAAACTGACCGCTGCCCTCTGGTGCTGCACCAGTTCCCCACAGCTGCTCTTGCCAAAGGTTTTGCATCCAGCCAGGACCAATTCCAGATGGAGGACTGGCTGATAGGAAGAGAAGCAAAGTAAAGCGCGGCATCCAGTTACCCATTCCCACCTCTTTCTATGTGGCTGGAGTAGCTTGGGTGAAGAACCTGCTGCCCACCCGCCCACCCCCTGAGCGTTTTAAGGTCTTAAATAATTAAGTCTGATGATGATGGTGGTGGTGGTGGTGGTGGTGGTGGTGGGACTGAAACAGACAAAGCAATTGAAACAAAAAAAACCTACTTATTTTGAAAAGCAGGTTAATCATGAATTGATGGCAGAGACACTGAGAGAAGCAAAGAGCAGCCGGATAGCAGAGAAACTGCCATCAATTTGTAGTTTAGAGTCACAGGTTTGGCCTCTGTGAAGTCACAGAAAAAAGCAGCATTTGTTTTCAGTGAGAACATCTGGAAAGTCAGTCCAAGATAAGGAGGATTAAAAACGAGCAGGAGTGGACGGAAAGGAAAGGGAGTTAGTGCGATGTCAGCTCCACTTCTGTTCCTCTCTTCACACTCTCTAGACAAGAGGTTTCTGGTTCGCCATGAATTCTTCATCCACATGAAAAATTTGAGTTTTCTGATTTCAGATCATCTTGGCAGGTGCTGTCTGTACACACGAAACAAAAACTAAGCTACCTCCAAATGATGAGGACTGGACGCTGCTTTTCTTTTCTAAGGGATGTGATGGGAGGGAGTGGATTTCTCAGCTTTCTACCTGGCTGCCCAATTTAGCCATTCGAAGTATAAATTCCTATTTTGGAGGCATACGCCGAATTAAAAAATGGACAAACAAATTGTATGGCAGAGAAAAAAATCCGGCTGCATCCATACTCACCCTAAAGCTGCACAAGACAGAATAGCAAGCCAGGAGGTGCCAAAAGGATCCATGCGTTTCATTAGCAGTGGGGAGAATAATTAGAAGGTGAGGAGGAAGAAAATGGACTCCATAACTCTCTCGCTGCATGTTATTTTCAGTCTAGGCAAATGTAAAGCGCTCAGTTTGCAAGGGCGGGATCGCTCCCGGAGAGATGCGGGTGGGCGGCGGGGAGGGGACGCGGGGGGGAAGGACGGACCCGGGCGAGGCTCCGCTTACCTCCCGTCAGCCGGGCCGAGGACACGGGGCTCCGGCGAGAGTTGCCATGGCTGTGATCTCCGGCCCTCTCCCTTCCCGGGCTGCACACCGCGGCCGACGCGCGCGCGGGCACACGCAGGCGCGCACACGCAGGCACGCGCGCCCGGTCGGCTGGCAATCGCAGGGACCTTTGCCCGCGGTTAATGAGTGACAGCGGCTCGGCGGGGGCGCCTCGGGGACAGCGCTCCGCCCGGGAGCGCGGGCGCCTGGGCGGGCGGGGGGGGGAGGGAGGCAGCGCCCCTTCCCGCTGCGCGGGGCCGCCCTTCGCCCCCGCTCGCCCCCGGGAAGGTGCGCGGAGGGGCGGCGCGGGGGGCTGCAGCCCCGCCACCGCCGGCGCAGACACGCGGGCGCGGGCGCGTTGGGAGGCGAACGCGCGCCCGCCTGCCCAGCAGCGCCGTGCGCGCAGCGAGTACTCCGCGGGCCCTGGGCGCCCCGCCGAGCCGCTTCGGCTCCTGGGGCGAGGCTTTCGCGACTCCGCGGGGCTTTTCCCGGAGAGGGCATGTCCCGAGGGACGGCCGCAGGCACAGGAGGCCGGTGCCAGGCAGCCCGGGGGCGCCGTGTCCCCAGGGCCACGCAGCCAGCTGCAGGCAGGGCAACCAGGAGCAAGCTGCCGGAGAGGCTCAGGAAGGCCGCTAGCAGGGCGGTGAGCTCGCTCCGGCACTCTGAGGTCCTGCTGGCATTTGTGGCCAAGCTACTGCCACTTTCGCTGCCCTGGTGGGAAGGGTCCACTCGGAGCCGTGGGAGGCCGGAGTTGCCCCTGGGGCCCGCAGCAATCAGGACCTGGTTTCCCACTCGTTTTGAACTCATATTCCGCAAACAGGACTTTGGAGGTTAAAATGCGGTGCCGGGTGTACACATGGTAGAAACACCTCAAGGACAGACGTATCCAGATGCCGTCCTTAAAATGTCTACTAGCAAAACCCGGGCAGGTGGGCTGTGCTGGCTACGACGGAGGCCCTTGCAAAATGGCTGCAACATGGAGCGCGGAAACACACAGCCAGCCGGGCGAGAAGCAGCAGAACCCACCACTGAGGAAACACACACACGAAGCCAGACTGGTCCAGCGCACCTTGGCTTGTTACGCAAAAATCCGTGCACAGCCCTCGCTCACCTGGGGCCCCTTTCTGCCAGGCACAATTAATCCAGGACACTTCAAATTAAATAAACTCATTTATCCAGGTCGGGAAACTACAGTTACCAACTCTGAAGCAAATCGGGACATTAAACGCACTCAAAACTGTGGTTTCATAGCCTGGCTTGTTCTGAAGTTGATAACTGAGCTTTAGTTGTTGACGGCAGAGGCGAAGCGCCTGGATTTGTGTGCAAAATGCTCACATGTCTCTCGGCTAAACAAGTCCAAGTGCGGCTTGTTCAGGGAGGGGAGGACAAGGAGTGGCTTTCAAGGTGTATCTCGGGGGAAGCTGCAGTTCCTCGGATGCTTCCGGAGGATTTCTCGAGAGAAAGGATGGAGCTCAGTGATGCAGCAGCCGCTCTGTGTGCTGAAGAGGCCTGGGGTCCCACCCTTGGCCTCTCCAGGTTAAAAATGCAGACTTGCAGCAGGTGGGAGAATCAGCCCACTCAACCCAGTGCTGCCTGGGCCAGGCTGGCAGCGCACTGCCCTCGGCCCGTTTTCCAAAGCCCCCCGTGCACAGCTTGCTCAGTCCTGAATGCAAGAGCGACCCATCCCTTCCCCAGCAGCAAGACATTCCCAAGCCCCCTCACCTTCTTAAGGTGTGGCTCCGAGAGGGGGGCTCCATCTCCCCGAGTCCCCAGTCAGCACTTGATAACAAACCGTCAAGCCGAGGAAGTGCTTAACCCAGACCAAAATGTTTACAGGATTGGCACCAGGCCGCGCCTGCTCCCTTGTTTCCACTCTCTGAGCCCCCTTCAGGAGAGGAAGCTCAGAAGGAGGGCCTCGGGAGTGGACGGTGGGCTGCCGCACAAGGCCGGAGGCTCTGCAAGATACTGCGATCCGGGGCAGTAACTGTGGAGCAGGAAAAAGCCAATCCCTGAATTGGACCTGGAACCCACTGGGCAACCAGTGCAAAGAGGGCGGGCTCGGTGCCCCCGTTGCCGGAGGGGACGGGAGCGGCCCTCCCACTGGAAGAGGCAGCAGAGGCAGCCCCTGGCCGGGAAGGGAGGTGGAGATGTCGCCCTCGCCGCGACGGAGCGAGGGGCCTGCAAAAGCGAGAACGGCCCCCACACGGGGCTCCCAGAGAGGCACCGCCCGCAGGGCACTCACCGCAGCCCGGAGCTCCGCAGCCTGGCTGTACACCGCGAGCTGCCGGAAGGGCTCGCCACCCTCACCGAAGGAGATGGCCATGGCCAGCAGCGCGTCGAAGCTCCTCTCCTGGCAAAAGGAGCTCAGCTCCTGCTCCAAGCCGGGGCGGCGCAAGAAGGTCTGGACGGAGAGGGGCACAAGGGCGTCGTTCAGGCGAGGCGACACAGGCGTGGGGAGGGCACAGAAATGCCGCGTGGGGACGTGCCGGGATGCCCTGTCCTGCCCGGCGGGGCAAGCGTGGCGTGTTGCCGCCCCCTCGCCGCCGTGAGGAGCCCCCGTGCCCATTCTGCACACGCCTCCCCGCTGGGGGCTGCGCGCAACCCCCGTCTTCCCGCTGGCCTCCGTGTGGCCAGCGGCCGTCCTGGCGGGGACACTGGCAGGTGCAGCCGATGCCCCGTGGCTGGGGAGGCCCCCAGGTGCGACGCGCTGCCTGGTCCCAGCGTGTGGCTTCGTTCCCTTCCTGGGCGCCTGACTGGCCCAAGAGGCCAGTTCAGCCCGCCTGGGAGGCCGCAATGCCAGGCCAGGTGGGGCCAATGGGAAGCAGAGTCCATCTGCCCAGGATTTCTTTCTCAGAGCTCTTGCTGCCGGGATCTAAACCTAAGAAGAAGCGTTTCACCCACTCCTTGCTGCACAGAAGCCAGGCAATTGCCAAATGTTTGCTGGCCGGGAAGCCGGCAGGGCCAGGGAAAGTGGGCGCGGTTCTCCGGAGAACTCCAGAGAGAGGACCGGGGGCCCAGTCCGGATCTAGCCTACGGTCCAGGCTGCTTTTGCTTTTTGGCAGGAATAGCAGGTTCCACATAAAATGCCAATGTGAACCTGCCAGTGGCAAGGGGCATCTCACAGACCTCCGCTCTGCAAAAGCACCTGCCATAACAAGCCTGCGGCTCTTTCTTTTGCACTCCTGTGAAGTGCTCAGGACAGGGAGGCCTCTCCCTCCTCCGCCGAAGCCAAGAAAGCCCGCAAGCCTGCCGCCTCCAGCGGCGCTTTGGCAGCCAGACGCTCTGCACACACCTGCAGGTCCAGGTACACAGCGCTGAGGGCGATGGCCGTTCCTGTGCCAGAGAGGGCCTTGAGGTCCTTCCGCAACATCTGCTCCGTGGTGAGGCCTGCGGGGGGGAGGACGGAGCAAAGACCAGTGTCAGCAAGAGAGCTTCGCAGCCCGCGGGAACTAGAGCCCAGGTCCAGCCCTCGAGGCCCCGGCTCGGTCTTTTCACTGCTCAGCTCTTCTTTCGCTCCCTCTCAGCAAACAGAGGGGCGAGGGCAGTGTGGGGCCACCCCTCAGCACCCACGAGGGAGCTACGCGTTTGTGTGCTGCCAGCAACCAGCAGAACACCCAGGAGCGGAGAAAGGGCTGCGCCTGAGGGAGACTCAAGGGAAGCGGGCCTGGCAGCTCCTCCCGGGTTTTGCAATGGGGTGCACATTCCCCGTTGCTCCACCATCCCGCCTGTCCTCGTACGGGGAGCCCCAGTACCTGAAACATCGAACTTGGCCTTCTGCAGGGCCTCAAACAGGACGTTCCTTGGAGCCAGGCTGGGGAACTTCGACTCCAGAAGGGAAACGCAGCGGGCGTCCTTCGGCGTCACCTTGCCGGCCGCGGGAGCCATGTTGACGCAGTCCAGCACGATGGCGCCTGTGGGAAGCCCAGGCAGCGCCAGCCCCGTCAGCTCAGGCACAAGGAGGGCCCCCGGAACAGCAACTTCGCTTCACTTGCGGCCTCGGCGTTAGGATTGCGTTTGGGATGCCAGAGACAGAGGACAGAGAGAAGGCTTCTGGTGGGCCAGAGGCTCTCTCTTGTGGATCAAGCGCTGCCGATTTAATTACACGGTGCCGGCTGCAAAGGGTCCCCACCCCGTCCACCACCAGGGTCACTCCCACTCCCACTCCCACTGAAAGGATGCTCTGCTGGGCCGAGTTTGGCCTGCAGGCTGGCTGGGGGCGGACACGGCCGGGCCGGCCTTCTGCAGCACTGCCAAGGCTGCCTGGACGGCCCAGCAAATTGCACTGGGCCGGTCCTCTCTCTGGCGCAGGCCACCGCAAGCGGCCACCCTCACCGTGTAGCAGAGCCGCGGTGAGTCCGTCCAAGGTCTCCGGGGGGCCCTGCAGGAACCGCTCCGCAACCAGCGTGGCGCACGAGCCCACCGGCTCCGCCGTCACCCTGCATGGGGGGCTCCGCTCCCGCTCCAGCGGGCGGTGGTCCATCACCTCCAGCACGGCCTCCTCCAGCACGGCGTCCCTGCTGCAGAAGGACGCGCCGGGGCAGTCAGCTGAAGGCCTGCCAGGCGCAGTGCAGACCTCAGAGTGGGGGGGCACCCCAGCATGAAGCCGTGCCTGGCAGGGGGTTCGGACGTGGCCACGGAAGGAAGGGCTTGGGGACAGGAAGGTGGCCTGGCTCCGGAAGGGAGGGCGGGGGTCCAATGGGGGTCCTGCCCCTGCTCCCCAACATCCAAAGATGGGGCACCCACGCAGATGATCAGAGCCAAGAGCAAGGCCCTGGGTGTGGGTGGCTCCGACGGACAGCCCTCTGGCGGCCTTCCCATCGCTGCTCCTCCCCGCTCGGCCTACCTCGGCAGGACGTGGTGGTCGACCAGCGTCAGGGAAAGGAGGCCCGCTTGGTGCAGGGCGACGAGGTCGATCTCGTCTCGGAAGACAAGGAAGCTCTCCGGGAGGTGCTGCTGCTTGAGGAAGAAGGTGCTTTCTGTCCGCAACGGGAAGTCCAGGCGGGGGATATTAAGGACCGGGATGAAGGCTGCCTTGGACTCTGGGCACGTCTGTGGGAGCCACAAAGAGGCCGTGAAAAGCCAGGTCTTGGTTATGGGGAGAAAAGAGCTTGCATGCAAGAGCAAGCACACAACCCAGGATCCCTAAAGGAAGTTTCTAGCCTTAAAGATCCAAAGCCAGGCCTGAAAGCACCTCAGCAGCACCCAGTGAAAACGACAAGGCTCAGAGAAGCTGCACAGCTGAGGGCCCTGCTTTGGCCCTGGCCCTTTGCCAGGATCAAAGCGACGTAAATATACTCGTCGACTAATCTTTGGTACGCAAGTCACACAGAACGTCGCTGCAGTAACGCTGACTCCGGCGCCACCCCAGGAGGGAGCTGTAAGCAGCGACCTGCCACTGAGCACATGGGGAGAGCCCTGCCCTGACGAGCCAGCCTCACAGGCACATGCAGGGGGGGGGCGGGGGGGCAAGGCAGGGAGCAAGGGACACTCCAGTGCAGGGGTGGCGGGACTCTTTTAGCCGGACGGCCGGGTTCAGCACCGGGAAGATCCAAGGACAGCAGTCCAGCGGCTGGCGGGAGCAAGGGCCCTGGGGGAGATCAAAGCAGGAAAGGCCAAACGCCAAGCGTTTAGGCGAGGCACCTCACATTTTCAGAATTCAGGAGGGGTGTGGAAAAGCCAGGAACTCACCAAGCCACAGGGGGCTTGGGGAAAGAGGCAGGGCAAAGGGAAGGGTCTGGGGGAACCCCGGGGGGCTGGAGCGGGGCTCCAGGTCAGCCAAAGGGTCTGCACACCGGTTTTAAGAGACGCTGGGGGCTGTGGGAGCACAAGAGTGTGGGGAGCCGGGGGCCCAAAGAAGAGCAGGGGGGCTGACCGCTGCGAGGAAGTAGGCAAAGGCCATTGCCGACACCATGGAGTCCAGGTCGCAAGCCTCGTTCCCCAGCACCACGTGGACCTCCCGGCAGCTTCGGATGTGTTCCTACCAAGAGAGGGACAAAAACAGAACAAGCCACGGTTGACTTTTCCGCCACACGCACGTTGCGTGTGATCAGATGCAAAAGGCTGAAGGCTCATCTCCGCAGACCGGGTGTCTGCTGCGCCCTTGCAGCCTCCCGGTGCTCTTCCGCCGAGTCTTGGACAGCACGTGCTTGGCAAGGAGCTGGTGGAGCTGTCGCCATGGGGGAACGTGATGGGGAGGTGGGGGAGAAAGCAGCTTAGGGGTTAGAGCAGCGTTCGCGGGAGGTGGGGAAGGATGGTGACGTCTCTCAGGGCCGCACAGGCGTTCTGGAAGCACAATGGAGAGGGCAGGGTTGAAATACCCAAGGGAGGATTGACTCGGCTCCACCTGCCCTTGCAGCCGCCCTGAGGACAGCAACCATCCTGCCTCCCGTACAGGTGTCAAAAGCAGGACGGCAGACAGACTAGTCAGAGAGCCGTTTGCAGGTGTGCCCCACAGGAGAAAGGTTTGGAGAGTATCTAGGATTTCGAGCAGATAACCCCTCACCTGTAGAACGCTCCCCCTGTGAGGTCTGCCTGGGGTCACCTTTTCAGACTAAAACTTTCCTCTGCTCGCAGGCATTCTAAAACACCACGGTGTAGCTGCTTCATCAAGCTACTCTCCTGGGACTTGGCTATTTTTAATAGTTTCTCATTTTCCTGTTCTGAATTGTTCCTAGGGAAAAGCATCTGCCAGGTCTAGACCACAACCCCCAGCATGCCCCAAGCAACCGTGCTGACACATTTTTCCCTGTCTACATTTGAATAGCAAAGCACCCTGAGTAAATGAACCGAAACAAGCACGTACAACAGTTGTGGATCAAGAGCAAAACTATCATCATAGTTTGGACAGTGGGGAAAGAGAGAGAAACAGATTTGGATTCGTAAAGTTAGCGTGCTCCTCGCTCACAGGACTTTCATGCACCTTCTTTGGACCTTTCAGGAGCCTGTACCACCAAAGAGGGCTGTACCACATGCTGTTCTGAATGTGTGGAGGAGCTCTAATGGCAGCCTGAGCTTTCAACAACCACAAATGCAGAGATCTCTGGCCGTGTAGAGAAGCTCTTGGCTATGCTTCCCAAGGGACACCCGCTTTGCTGACCACCTGGGAGATCTAAAAAGCTTTCCCTCCCCATCTGCCCCTCTTTTCTTCTCCTCCACAAACATCAGCACTAAGAGGCGGCCGGGCCACTGTTTCCCAGCTACTGCGAAATGTCAGGACCCATTTGCCAAAGTTCCAGATAAGATAAGCCAGTCCCAGATAAACTGAATTTATGGAAGCCAGTCGATGAGGTTTGGGTGAGTGTACAAACAGCAGCAGATGGCCACGGGGCAAAGAAAGGAAATTAAAATTGGGAAGGTCGGTTAAAAAAAATCAAACAGGCACAAGCATGAGCTATTTTTGCTAAAAGCACTCCAGCTGTCCTTTCAGAAGTGGCTCCCATTAGCGGTAGCTGGGGAAAGCAAGCCGGAGGGAGAAGGCCATGTTCTTTCTCAAATGCATTAGCCCATCGTCATTACGAGCTCTTTGTACCGAGATGCTGTGCACCTCCATGTCTACCCCTCCTGGCCTTGGAGGAAACTGCTTTCAGCACAGACTCGATTTCCCCATCTGTAAAAAAGGCACAATCACTGCCAAACTCTTGGGGCTGACCCAGAAGGGAAATTCAATGCCAATTCCTGGAGTATCCATCTTTACTCAAGAGGGGCTGAAGGTAGACATTTCAAACAACCAAGCACCCCTCTTCCTACCCACAATGCCCTCCGGCCAGAGGACTTCCAGCTGTTGGCATGCAAAGAAAAAGGAGGGTATCTTTTGTAAATCTGTGATACAATGATCTGGCTGATCCTAGTGATGTAGCAACACCATTTCAGTCCCTCCCGAAACCCACACACATGACCTCTGAAACACCAGGACTTGGCGCATGCTTGGCACACCAGGACTTGGCACACACACATGACCCCAGTGCACTGGACTTCTAGCCTGGCCTCCCCCAACCTGAAACTCTCCAGATGTTTTGGACTACATTCCACAACACGCCAAGCACTGACCACCCGGACTGGGGCTGATGAGAAAAATAGTTGAACATCTGGTGCCTCACAGGCCCTCCACCCCTGCCTCAGAGGAGTTTGGACATTACTGGTGGAGCAGAGCTCAGCTGGAGCTCTACCCAATTTGCCTCTGCTTGCAACAACCAGAGATGTCTGCCGCTGAAACCTGGGGTCAGATTCTTGGAAGCAAGTCTCTACCCCTGCGCCTTTTGTCAGAGCCGCTTCTGCAAAACAGGGGTGGAAGCGCAGCTAAGGGAGAATATGAATCAGCAGCACTGAAAGACATCTGCAGATGGGGCAGAATCAGGAAAACACAAGACCATTGATCACAGCCCACACAATGCTCATCTTTGGGTTTCAAATCATTGTGGTAAGCCGGGCGGCGGGGAGAGACTGAGCTGGAAGTAAAGCCAGACGATGTTTGCTCAAGAGGAAGAGAGTCATAATCCCTCGTGAAACTCCAAATCAAATCGATGTCGAGTATAAACTATAAAGACAAGTTGGGGGAGGTGGGACGGGGATGCGAGAGAACCAGGTATGTTTGGTTCCAGTTCCCTCCACAATTCAAAAGATGTGCTAGACCCCGTTCAAAATCTCCCCCAAATGCTCTGGCAAACAGAATTGCAGAAGGCGGCTGAGGTAAGGTTCCTATATTTTTGGATGACGCGATGGTGTCTCTCTCTCAGACATGGTTCATTCACACGTGAAACTGACTGCAAGGACTGCTAAAAGGTTTACATTTAACCAGGGCACAGTAGGGTTCTGAATTAATGCCAGATTTCCGGTGGGGGTGGGTAGCCAGTGACACATTAAATGCATGACCAAAAAGAGGGCAAAAGTCCATGAAGATCTGCAGGACAGGCTTCCTTGCCTGGAGCTCCTTCAAGCATTGCTTGGTCACAACAGACTGATTTTTAAAACAAAGAAAACAAGCCCAAACAAAATGACGGTTGTACGCGCACAGTTGCTGTCTGGTTTTGACAATGTGCCCAGTGCAGATGGCTTTTCTTACACAAATCCAAAGGGGAAAACATACATATTATTTTGGAGAATGCGACGAAAACAGCGATTGTATAGAGTGAAAAAGCCTACACAGGCACACACAGCCCTTGATTCCGTCCTTCAGCTGAGTTCAAGAGGGATGATTTATTTCCCATACAGCATCATGGACATCTTAAGTACAGGAAAAGTACTCTAAGCCAAAGGCAGAAACGTCCTGCTCCAAAGGGATAGAAAGACTAATTGTGGTGACAGCGGAAGAGGAGGCTCACAAGGGAGAAATATGACCAACTGTATTTACCTCTTTTTTAAAGTTATAAAGGAGCATTTATTGCCCACTTTGTAGCACCCACTGGAACATTAAGAGCAGATTAAAAACCATCCAGCCAATTAAATGATCTAACCCAATCCAAGTCAAGAACAACAACAAGCAATTACATGGAGATGGAGATGGGAAAGCAACGAACAACCTCAACAGAAAATAATCAGCTAATTGCGTTGTAGTTTCCTTCCTGTAAAGTCAAGGTCTGTGGTGTTGGGCCAGCGATATGCAAGCCAGATTCCTCCGGTGGTGGCCTGCAACTGCAAATCCTGCCATTCCTGGCCACAAGCTACACTGGCTGGGGCTTGTGGGAACTGTAATCCCCAACACCTGAAAGGGGCCAGGCTATTCTGGAAATCACCATTCACTTTGCTAGAATTGTAATAATGATGACAATGGCAAATAACATCCTGGCAAACTAAACTTCATATCCAAAACTAAGACGCTGGGTCTGGCAGTTTTGTGTTTGAATCCCAACAGAGCTTGATTTCACCAAGGGATGTCACTTTAGCTGCAGGTAAAATGGGCATGAAGGTGGCTGATTGCACAGGAGAAGTGGTACAAGGAGCCACGCTCTCTTGGGAGAGGCAGCATGCAAAATTCTAGAACCAGGTTTTGGAGTTAAGTGGCAAGAGCTGTTTCAGCATTTGCAGGGAGTGTTCTGAGCCAATCAAGGGCATAGGGCCACAAGGATGGTGGCCGGCTTGTGGGGGAAGCCATATGAGGTGAGACTGAAGGAACTGGGTCTTTTTAGCCTGGAGGAGAGGAGACTCAGAGGGGACCTGTTGGCAACATGCAGGTATGTGAGGGGATGTCACATGGAGATGGGTAGAGACCTGTTCTCCCCTGCAGAGGAGGGCAGGATGCGCTCCAATGGAGCCAAGCTCAATGAACCCAGGTTCAATTTGGATGCCAGGAAGTACTTCCTGACAGTTAGGACCCTGAGGGTGTGGAATGGGCTTCCACGGAGGTGGTCGAGGCCCCATCAGTGAGGGTGTTCAAAGACAGGCTGGACATGCGCATGGTGGGCATGTCATGAGTGGATCTGGCTGGAGCCGGGGTCAGACTACATGGCCCAAGAGACCCCTTCTGACTCGCGCTGTTTCTCAAACCAGCCAAGATGCCGCAAGCAAGAAAAGCCAGATCACCCGCAATCCAATTAACTGCTGCTGTTTTGAAAAGGCCACGCGAATATTTAAACCAGAGATTGCTAAATGGATTGTAAACCATCTGGCCTTCCTTACACGAAAACAGCCACTCACCTGGGGTGCCCACAAATGGCTTTATTTTTTTCACTGTGATTTTAATTGGTTTTACTGTTGCATTTTCCTGTAAGCCGCCTAGAGGATCTATCGGGGTTAGTGGGCGGCATACAAATCCAAAAGTTAATAAAGCGCGCAGGAAACGGGGCGCCGATGGGTACGGGCAGAGACACGTGCGCGCGCCTCTCCCGGCCGGCACGGGCGCGCGCCACGAGGGCGGCGGGGCCGCGCGCAGCCCTTCGCCCCCGGGCCGCCCGCTCAGCCCGCGTCCCTCCCCCGCCGCCTGGTACCTGGAGGGCGGCCCGGCGGCCTCCCAGGAAGCGCTCCATGGCCGGCCGAGGCGAGCGGCGCAGCGGGCCCGGCCCCGGGGCGGGCGGGAGAAGCGCGGCCCCGGGCGGGCGGGCGGCGGG